CCTGCATTCGATATTTTGGGTAAGATGACAATATTATAGGAGCCTGTACCATCTTGACTTCTTTGATTCGACTTACTGCTGATTCGTTCTCTTGACTGAACAGCCAATCACAGTTCTCTCTCTCACCGAAGGCCAGGCGCTGATTCAACATGCAGAAAAAAACCCATAGTGTCCGACTAGAGCCAATGCTGCTGAACACAGCGAAAAAACTAAGCTGACCCGACCGATGCTAAAAACGGCCTTTAGACACAGTACTGATAGAGTTACTTTATCTATTTTTGCTTCAATTATGAAATTTGTTTCAAACAAAGTCAAAGAACAATCAACCATCGTGTGAAGCAATGTTTTACACTGAATGACTGTGTTTCTGAACAAGACGTTTGAGTGAATGACACAATGTACCCTATTTTAACGATCTGAAACGCAAGTATCAAGCGCGAAGCGCAAGTAAGTTTGTAAGTCTTGGGCACTGTTGCTATTTAACCGGCGGGATAAATGACTCTTGCGCCGGGCGCAAGTTTAAAAGGGGTTGGTCTGAGGTAGCCTCATTATTCATAGGTGTGGTTTGGGCGTAACATCAACCAATCAGAGCGTCATCCAACATACATTTTAAGAGCAGGTGCGCATGTTCCCTCATGTGTTAATATTGTTCCTTGTTATAATGTATGATTTGCAAAAATAAAAACTGCTGCATCTGTGTTGATGAGAGAATCAAAGTGTATGCACGTTGTGCATCCGCTACATTATGGCCAAGCATGCACGCTTAAAATAGGGAGCCTACTGTAAGTCCCTCCCCTTCCGGTCGACCACCATGGGACCTTATTTCGGAAAAATATCGTATGGTAGTCAATGGCGAGAGACAACAAATATTTTGATCTCGTTTGAACTGTGCTCTGAGTTACACATATGATGTTTGTCAATTTAAAAGAATCATTTTAAAGTCAAGAACGTCTTAGTTTGATGTAAAACCGTTGAGGTATAAGACTGTGAAAATACGTAATTACAAAGACTACAAACCCCAAAGGCGCACATTTTCTCTCAATGAATGAAGCTAACTTTACTGAGGCTAATGTCTGTCATTGTTTCTATAGTCTTACGTTACAATCGTAACGTTACGCCGTCATGCCTGAGTGTTTTTGTTCCAGACTGCACACACACGAGCAGCGGATCTTGCTCGTTGTTTCACTTCCCGGGAGATGTAGTTCATTGAGCGATTTTCACATAAAACTAAATGTTACTCTTCTGTTTTATGACAAACTGCGATATTTTTGACTTTCAGAATTATCTTTTAAATTGACAAACATCATATGTGTAATTCAGGGCACAGTTCAGACAGAATAAAAAGATAAGTTGTCTCTCGCCATTGACTACCATTCATATTCTTTCCGAAATAAGGTCCCATGAGCCGGAAGCGGAGGGGCGGGACTTATGCTCTCGAACAACGCGCAACAAGCCACTGACTTTAGACTGGGTTTTTTTTCTGGTCAGTGGCGCAATTGTTTTCTGGAAGTGCAAAATAGCACTAAGGAATGTTTGCGCCGAAACACGCCTCCTTTTTGCGTCGACCTGCCCAAGGAGCGCAAGTTCATTTCCTAGTTTACCGCCGTGCGTCTGTGGAGGGAAAAGCCCGCTTTGCGCGGGTGCAAAATAGGAATGATACAGGTGTTTGTGTATAAAGTCATTTGCGCCGAGTGCAAGGGGAAAAAAAAAGTAATTTACGAGCATTTCAATATACAACTTGCAGAAAGCATTGCTAAAAAATCTACAAATAAAAACACTGAGATTCTATCTGGAACACAGTCAAGCAGAGAGATACAAACAGTGACAACTCCTAGAGTTGGACTGTATATCAGGACTCTTGGAACACAAATTAGAAAAGAAATTGTATAATATCAACTAACTTACATTCCAAACACAACATGGCCAGCTATTTTTTTTCAGATTTGCTCTGCCAGAGAAAACAGTTTCAAAAGAAGCCAAGGTAGGAAGTGTTGCGAACAGTCAACAGACTGATCCAGAACTGTTCTACAAAAGACCAGCATTTTTGGAGTATCGCCTGTCCAATCAAACTAGTGGACTGAAAATAACTTTCGCAACCTACAAATGTAGATTTCTTTGGGGAGGCAAGATGTTAGAATACTTAAAGGCGCTCTATGCAAGATCTGTACCTTAATATAACAGCTTCAACGTTGTTTCGGTGGTTAACAAAGTCATAGTAGGGCGAATCATCCTGGTAGGAAAGCTTGGGGGCACCTGACACATCACGAAATGGTTTACAGCAACGACGTCACACACATCAACAACAACATACTGTGTGAAGCTACTTGCGCGCATCCAAGAAAACTCGGTCAGAAATGTCCAGAAAAAGGGAAAGAGAATCGGACCGTGCTAGAAACCGGACAAGAGTCCCACCCGGTCGGGCTTTCACTCGTTGGCGCGAGCTTAAAAGCAGCACTGGATTGTAACTGCGATGCTGACCTGCCAATCTTGTGATGGACTTGTAAGTAAATCTCTTATTTGTAAACTTGTTTGCGTTCTATGTTGTATGTTGCTGCGCTAGCTTGTAGTTTGTCATTTTTTACGGTGCTGTTCATTCGTCCTGAAGATTCAAAATCTCTTCATTTAATGTTGTTTTTAGTACTATTATTATTTTTTATTAATATTCATTATATGTATCTGTTTTATTACATGTACACACATTATTATTTGTGATCTTTGCATTTTGTGATTATAATGTTTTGAAGATGTAGGAGAGAGAGAGACTTTGTAATAAGTTAAACTGTATGAGAGAATGTATGTTGGAGTGAGACTGAAAGTTTATGTAGTGTATAGTTTCCATCAGGGATGTATATACACTCCAGGGACGTGCACAGGGGGGTTGCTCAGGTTGCCCGGGCAACTGCCCATATGCCCTTCTCGACTCAGGTTGCCCTTCTGAGGTAAAAAAAAATAAAAATCGTACAATGGATGTAGAATTTCACGTAGGCCTAGACAAAAAATAATATAAAAATCGCAAAGCCTCATTCACTTCCAAAAAAAAAAATAAAAAATTGAAAGTCAAACTGTTTCCACGAGACCATAGACTGCACGCGACCGGTGCATATGGTAAGGCACCGCAAATACTCGGGCCGCGCCTCCATCTCGTGTCGTGCGCTAATTAATGTGTACGAAGTCCATGACAAAATGAAGCGAAACTATCCTTCTCGTCACGAAAAGAGGAAGAAGAAAAACATGAGAGTGAATTGCGGGAACAGCATTCAGGTAAACTTGTGTTCTGTCCTCTCTAGTGTCAGCAAAGTTTGATGGTTTGTCTGGGCAGGCAGTGCATCTCTTGCATCACTTTTTGCCTGACAAAAGTGAGAGTAAAATACCATTATTTATTACGTTTTGTTTTTGATAAACGACAAAGTGCAACAACAGTGTTTGTTTACTGCAGCTCGGAAAACATAACCGCGTCGCGTGTGTTGCGTTCATATGCGCGTGCACGAAATGAAACTCGCATTTTTCAAGCAGAAATGTGGAGACCAGAGAAATACTGTACAATACGTGAATGATGGCACTTCCAATCAAAGTACACATTATAAAGACACTGATTATCTAGTCTCAGTGTAGTTAAAAACTCTAAACAACTGCACTAATTATGCAAGATATAAACCAATGTATTGGCAATTTGACATTGATTGATTGATTTATAGGCTGTATTGAATTTAAAATGATGATTAGATGGCCATTCTGGTCAATATGAATGCAAATCCCTCAGTAAATAACCATAAATCAAGATTTGCTTTAACATGCATAAAAAAAAATTAAATAAAAATCATAGGCTACTGATTCCGAAAATACCCTGGCTATAGAGAGAACCAAAGTTAATCCCAAAAGCCAAAGTTCAGGGTTGTACTTTATTATTTTCTTCTTGTTTATGTTTACGTTAATATTCACTTAGCTATGTGAATGTTAATGTTATCTTAACATTCTATAAAAATGCTTTATTCAGTAAATATTGTTTGTTTGAACCTCATTCTGTTCTATATTGTTGTACTTATTCTTTGACTGTTTTGTTTAAAGGAGGGAGGATTGTATTGGGCGGTATTGAGTGGCAATGGCAAATGGTTTACATGGCTCACGGCATCACAGATCAGGTAGAGGTCCCCTTAGCAAATTTTGCTTAGGGCCCCGCAGGGGGAGATCAGGATTGGCAAAAAAAAGAATTGTATTTTTTCCCGAAATCTAAGCGTTTTTTATTTTTTCGAGTTTTTTCCATTCAATCCAGATTATTTCTTTTCAAATAAATAAATAAATAAATAATTTAAAAAACAATAAACAACAATATGAAGAACTCTTTTGCTCATTTGTCTCATCTCTGACATTTTGCAATCTTTATAAATAATTATAAGACCATAAGATGAGGCATTGCGTTTGGACATATGCACGGCCAGATAAGGCAATTTGGAAGGGGACAAATTCAACTGAATATATTCCTTCATATAGCCCGTGAGGGGGGAGGAGGGAGGGGGGGGGTGTCCTTTTTTCAGGTCAGAGCAACTGCCCCTCAAAATTCCTGTGCACGTCCCTGATACACTCCATAGTTAATGGAAACCATATGTTCTTGTGGTAATGCATGTGTTACTATGGTGATGCAGTTTTTTTTCTTGGTCAGTGGTATAAAGACTAAGACCCTTTTGTCCGAAAAGCAGGAAGAGATGATAACGATGCAGAATGAAGACCTCTGTTTCTCTTCCTCCTATGTCTTATAAATATTATAAATAAATTCGAGAGATCTCTTGGCAAAATCACTGGTGTCTCTTTTCATGGGGAAAGCAAAATAAGTTTTTTTAGATCTACAATCCGTTGTTGATAATTAGACCAGTTCAATAATTCCCACACGTCTAGCTAGCTTTCGTTTACAAAAGCTGTAAGCAGACTTCCTAACAAACAGTCGTTTCTCTTAGTTTTGTTGTTTTTTTTTTTCGTTATTGTGTGGTGTTGTGTTGTGATGTGTATCACGTAACGTTAGTCCTGTGTCTGGTTCTTATGGCGTAAGTTACTGTTATATAAACTTTATCTGACTAACAGTGCACTTCCCGACTGTAATTTTTCTTCGGATTGTGTTAATTATTAATCAATTAAATCTTGACGCTGTTGATGTTGATTCCTGTGATTATCATGAGAACATAGTCAATATCTCACATAATTATTAGGACATATATAAGCCTAGAGGTTGTAAATAGTGTAATTGAACACAATTTGCTAACTTTTATGTCAATCATGTCTAATGAAATCATAACATTTTGTAATGATTACATTAAAATCAAAAAACACAAATGAAATTGTATTAGTCCAACACTATAGGCAATTTACTTGTGATTTAGCAGAAATCACGTAAAAACTTTATAAGCCAGCAAACGCGATAGGCAACTTTATTATTATAAAGTAGTCTAAAACTTGACAGTAGTTCAGTAGGTATGCAGTAACAGGGGAATAACGGTTATTTACTACAGTGCAAGTACACCACAGCGGCTCTAGAGGTCACTGTTTTACAGAAAAATCAGAGAATGCATAGTGTGGCTTTAACCGAAGGTTGAAGGAAACATGAACATTCAAACTGTGAAGCATCTTTCGCATCTTGTAGTCGTGTCGTGTCTGGACATGGTGTGTAATAGCATCTTTAATCGTGCAGGTTGCGTGTGTTCGTCCTACCTGAGCAAAAGGGCATGGGTGCGCTCCAGTGACCATTGAGCTGGCAGGTTCGTGAGGATTCGCCCTTCAGTTGTCGACCACCCGTACACATGTAGCGTACCGTGGCACCAAAGGTGAATTTGTCCCCGCTCAGCACTCCATTAGGAGGAGATCCAGGATGCCCACAGTCCACCACTATACACAACACACACACGGGAAATAATGACTGGATCGGCAAACACTCCTTCAGTACACGTTCACAAGTTGAATATGATTCTTTTCAATTCAATTCACATTTATTTGTATAGCGCTTTTCACAATACACATCGTTTCCGAGTCCACATTACAATTTAGAGTGATGTGTTATCAGAGCTAACTGTCTAAGTTATGGATTTCAGAAATGTAAATATACAAAATCAGTTATTGATTTTTTAAACAATGTAATAATTGAAGGCAGAAACTATGAGCTCATTGAAGTAACGAATACTTGTTTGTTAAAGGGATACTTCAGGATTTAGCATTAAGCTTTGTATTTGTAGGAAACCTGGGTCTGTAGGGTCTGCATGTTCTCAACCTGCCCATAGAGGGTGGATCTCACTCACAGAATGAACACATAGTGTCGGCCATCTTTGTTTGGAAGCTAAGCTAGCAGGCTCTTGTTCTGTGGAGAAAGCGGAGTAGTAGGGGTTACCGTCCTCTTTCTCCAGGACATGTCCGGCCGTCGATGTCCGGGATTCAGCTTTTGCTTTCTGCAGTCGCCATTCATTGTTTACATGCACAGCTTTTGTTTCAATCTAACTGAATTCGTTCCGATTGGTGAATCTGAATGTAATGTTTACATGAACGCTAAACAAGTGATTGGTTGATGTGCGTTTTAACATTGCTAAGATAATTCCCGCTCCTACGTGAGAGATACGAGACTGGTGCGTCTCACAGGTGTCGCTCATCACTAATCACACCACCGGCCTCGCGCCGTTCTCCCGCGGCCCTCACTCGTCCCGCTAGCCACAGTAAACATGATGAATGGCGACTGTAGAACGCAAAAGCCGAATCCCGGATATTTGGGGCGATCTAGAAACACATTTTTGGGCAGACTCGTCACGGAGACTCACTAGTAGCCTTGCTGTTTAACTACTGCTCTCTGTTACCGGTAGGCGTGGCCTCCAAGGGCAGCGAAGCAAGTGCATTCTGGGAGTTGTTGTCTTTCATCCACATAAGCAAAAAATAAATTTTCTGGCTTTTCTCAGTCTAGAAATCTCCAAATTCAAAAATAATTTCACATTTCTTCTACATAAATGACCCATTTTAAATGTGCATTCAACTTTCCAGAGGTGAAGTATCTCTTTAACAAATGATGACATTTAGAAGAATATGATTCAGAGCTTGAATCATCTGAAGGAGTGCAGGAGTTGGTGTCGTCTCTTCATAGGTGTTTTATTAAAACATAAAAAACTTGAAACAAAGCTGCTCTTAACTTTTAATTATATAATCGCTCTAGTTGGTCTCAATGAATACGGTGGTAATTCAGCTTCCTGTGTGAGCATTTTGATCAGCACTTTCTGAAAGTTTCTTCCTAATCTGTATTTCAGACCTCGCTGCTAAAATTTAAATACTTTAATCAAAATGCATTTCAATGCATGAATTGATATGATTTAATTAAAAGTAATGATTTATCTTAAGCTATTTAAAAGAGTATTAAAAGTAATGAGCCACATTAAAGGCTCACACAGAAATGTACTGTAATAAAGCTAACATAAAAGCTTTCTGATGCACTTTCTGTAAAGCTGCTTTAAAACAATAAGTATTGTAAAAAGCGCTATACGAATTGAACAGAAATAGATATGTTTTAACATGCTTCAAATGTAAAACAACAGAAAAGCTTAAACAAAGGGTCTCAACTGTGCATATATATTTTTGCATGTCAGCAGAAAAGCTGTGAACACATAAATATGTATAAATAAAGCATTGAGTAAATCTCATTATCAAGTGAGAAACAAACACTTTTCATACAGGACTGCAAGTAAGCGTCAGCATTTTTATGCAGAACGTATCTCAGATCACTTAGGTATTCAAAGAGCCTTGCAAATGGTGTTAGGATCACACATGTAAAACTACAGCAAAGGTTATAGAAACACAAAGCAAAGTGGCGACCGGGAGAAAGGGCATCTCTGACAGCAGGGAGTCTTGTCAGGGCGAAATGTAAGCTCGGGTCCCGTCGACTTCACAGCTGCTGCTAATCGTGTCTCACTGCACTGAGCTGTGTTTTAACTTTCACATAATAAAGCGGGGATCAGATAATTGCTAATCTGTGTTCCACCTGTCCCTCAATTACAACCACTGATCTTGAGCAGCAGGAAGAGGGTCGTGCAACTGATTCCCCTCAATTACTGGAAGGAACAGGTGATTAGCAACACAATGCCACTGCCAAATTTTCATTGAAAGACGCTAGAAACATACCGATACACTCGGGCAGCGGTTTGTCCCACTGACCCGTGGGCTGGCAGGTGAGGACGGGGGAGCCAAACAGGTAATAGCCGGGGTTGCAGTCGTAGAAAACCACCGTGCCAAAGGTGAAGTTTCCGTGCTCGATCTTACTCTGCCTGATGGAGTTGGCAGGAATCCCAGGATCAGAGCAATTGACAACTGAATAAAGAGAAGAACGGGAGAGGACAGAAACAGAGACATGTTATTTGGCAGAAGCACTAAGCAAGTGACTTCAGTGGAAACAACTAGGTCAGATGCTCTCGGCAAGCAACGCAGAGAATGAGAATTTGCCATTCTGTCACAGACATCCACTCAAAAATTGACTGATAGGACATATAGGATCTTTTAAAAAAAGTGACATAGGACTAATCAAGACAATAATATGAATATATATATATATATATATATAAATATTCACAGGTATTATATAAACAAAAACTTTTATATTACACTCTAAACAATGCTGGATTATTTCAACCAAAATTTGGGTCAAATATGGACAAACCCAAATGTTGGGTTAAAAATGTAATTAAAAAAAATTAAAGTTAAAAGTGAAAGTTGAAGTTGGGTTAAAATTTTAAATTACATTGGGTTTGTCCATATTTGACCCAAATTTGGGTTGAAACAACCCAGCATTTTTTAAAGTGTAGATGCAATTAATCGGGATTAATTTACGGAAGCCCTGAACCGCAACCTAAAAAAAAAAAAAATCTGTAAAAAAAAAAAAAAAAAAAATCTGTAAAAAAAAAAAAATATGTAAAAAAAAAAAAAAATCTAGCATTTCGAGATTAAAGTCGAAATGTTTCGAGATTAAAGTCGAAATGTTTCGAGATTAAAGTCGGAATGTTTCGAGATTAAAGTCGAAATGTTTCGAGATTAAAGTCGAAATGTTTCGAGATTAAAGTCGAAACATTGTGCATTGTATAACAGTGCGCGTCCACTGGCTCAGAGCGCGCGCGCGTGTGTGTGTGTGTGAAGTCGAACTGCAATGGATAAACACAAAATAGTAGCTTTTTACTTTTATCTGGGCTTTCAACAAAATCTACACACGTCACACGTGCTAGTGGCAGTGTTTCTGAGGTGTTTTCGTGCTCGTCTAGTCAACACTATCTGGGTCGAGAACACAACAGGAACTGTTCGGTCTCCCTCTTCACCGTAAATACGCTCTGGATACATTTTAAGTGCATCATTCTGTATCCAATCATTTGGCCGGATCCTGTGATTTCCTAAGATTTAATAACCACTTATGGTTGAGGAGAGATTCTCTGATATGATTGTAAAGCACTTTGAGTGTAGGCATATATGAAAGCGCTATATAAATGCCCTATTCATTCATTCATTCATTCATTCATAAAGCTGAATTTCTCCATCCAGTCTGAAAAGTGTTTTCCGTGTTGGTTTTCCTATAGGCTAAAGTCTATTCCGGCGCATTATATTTTATAACGATAAAGTAAGATAAGTAATTCAGATATAAGTAAAAAGCTACTATTTTGTGTTTATCCATGGCAGTTCGACTTCACACGCACACGCGCGCGCTCTGAGCCAGTGGACGCGCACTGTTATGAATGCACAATGTTTCGACTTTAATCTCGAAACATTTCGACTTTAATCTCGAAACATTTCGACTTTAATCTCGAAACATTCCGACTTTAATCTCGAAACATTTCGACTTTAATCTCGAAACATTTCGACTTTAATCTCGAAACATTTCGACTTTAATCTCGAAATGCTACATTTTTTTTTTTTTTTACAGATTTTTTTTTTTACAGATTTTTTTTTTTTTACAGATTTTTTTTTTTTTTTTTTTTGGTTGCGGTTCAGGGCTTCCGTATTAATTGATTTGACAGCGCTTTATATATATATATATATATATATATATGCATACATATTTTATATACCTACATATACCTAATTATATATATATATATATATATATACTGTATATACACTATATATATTTATATACTGTATATATATATATATATATATATATATAAAACCCCTATTTTTGTAATATAATATATTTTTCAACATAATTCAGCTCAATCTGTGTTAGTATCATGTATCACACAGTTGCATGCAGTAATAAGTCAGTGCACAAATGCAGAATGGCATATGCAGAACATGCAAACTAAATATATCGGCATACCATTTTAGTATAATAACAGTACAACATTGTGTTTCCTTACCAGGCATCATTAATGACAATTTAGTTTGTGAAATTACTGCCACCAAACCCCACAATCGGCAGCCACTTTTCAACATCCAACATCTGCTTCAGCCTTTCTTACACACAGTGCACTGCGCTGCTTTAATACGGTCAGCCGGTGAATCAGGCAAAGCTCCGTGTGAATAAAAGACTTAACTTTTCTCCCCACCTTTACATGTTGGTGGTGGCTGGCTCCACTGCCGGTTGGCCTGACACTGGGCTCGGGAAGGACCCTCCATCACGTAGCCCATGTTGCAGGAGAAGCTCACCACATCATTGAGGTTGAAGCCGTTGCCGACGGTCCGGCCATAGATGGGGCTTCCCGGGTGCCCACAGCTGATGGCTAGAGATCACAGGAGAGAGAGAGGCTTTAATGTGGCATAAGCATACAATCTGTGTGCAGCAATGTGATAAAATTATATATTATACATTTTAAGGACAGACAAGTAGTTTGTTAAGGGCTGGGTTTTTTAGGGAAGGACTACTGTATATATCTGCGCACATATCAAACGCACATCCCTATAGAAAATTTTAATATGCACAAATGCTCGTCTTGCTCTGTTCTGTGATGCGTGTTCATGACTCTCCTGTTCGAACTCGTTCATCAAAATGAACAACTCTTTTTCGAGTCATTTCGTTCATTTCATTCGTTGAATGACCAAATGACTCGAAAAAAAGGACATCGCAAAACAGAGCATGGCGAGCATTTGTGATTATAAAACGTAAACTTTTTTATTAATTTTTGAAATGGCTGATGGTTTCGCTTGATAAGACCCTTATTCATCGCCTGGTGTCGTTTAAAGCCCTTTGAAGCTGCACTGAAACTCTCATTTGGACCTTGAAGCATTTGGACCCCATTGAAGTCCATTATATGGAGAAAAATCTTGGAATGTTTTCATCAAAAAACTTCATTTCTTTTCGACTGAAGAAAGAAAGACGTGGACATCTTGAATGACATGGGGTTGAGTAAGTTATCAGCAAATGTTTTTTTTTTTAAAGTGAACTACTCCTCTAATATGCATAATATGCACACTATCAGCGTTCTCACAGGTTTGTGTTATTAAAGTCTGCATAGAGATAACTTAAAGAGTTTTCTGGTAAAACGGTGTCGTGTTAGTGGCCCATAAGTTAATAACTAATGATCGTTGTGACGGAAGTGAATCAATTTCAACTAACATTAGCTGTAAACTTTATTCTGGATCTGGTGTCATAAAGCCAAAACAATCTGTTACTTTAATTTCCTATCACTGCTTTGGAAAAATCGACATTGTTAAAAGTGCTATAAATGAAAATGACTTGACAATGTGGGATGATTTCTTCCTGGGAGCTGTTTTCTCACAACAGGACAGGTACATATTAAAAGATTTAAACGTTTTAGAGAGTGATTCAATTATGGCAGAAAATAGATGTGCCCTAAATATTGATTGGTCAATGCAGGAAATTAGTTCAATTTCCCTCTGTAATTTCTAATAATTCACTTGGTAAGTTGCCAATTCAAATGCAATAAATCAGATTCAGTTTCTCCTTGATAAAACCAGAACCACATTCTAAAGGCTAATGCACAGAAATAAAGGCAAGATTAATTCACTGTCATTTCAAATACTACACAATCACATACAGCTTTGAAGGCAGGGCTCAACCCGAAAGATGTACATTACACATCCATTTAAAAACAAAGGGAAATAAACAGTGTGGAAATAAACAGACAAATAAACAAACAAAACAATCTGAAATGTTTTGCATCGTATGCCATCATTTTAATGCAAATGTTTTTTACTGTATGAAGTCACGTTTTAACTGTATGATTTACAGCTTATTTCTAGAGAAAACTTAACATTCAAATGAAAAGAAATAAGAATATAAATAATCTATAATAATAATATTATTTATGGAAAATGTAAAAATCCATGGCTCGCTTTCTCTCTATATATACACTATTGTTTAAAAGTTTAGGGTCAGTAAGACTACAAGAAATTAATACTTTAATTCAGCAAGGATGAGCTAAATTCGTCACAAATTACTTTTACAACAATTTTGATTCTAATAAATGCTGTTTGAACTTTCTATTCATCAAAAAATCCTGAAAAATGTAGCACAACTGTTTTCAACATTGATTATAGTCATAAATGTTTCTTGAGCATCAAATCGTCATATTAGAGTGATTTCTGAAGGATCATGTGACACTGAAGATTAGAGTAATGATGCTGAAAATTCAGCTTTAATTACAGGGATAAATTACATTTTAAAATATATTAAAACAGTTATTTTAAATTGTAATAATTTAAACAATTTTTACTGGATTTTTTCCATTTATCCAGTTTTGATGAGACGAAGAGTGATTTTTTTTTTTTCGAGAACATTAACAAATCTTACCGAACAATAAAGTAAACGTTACACAGTATGCACAGTATTTTCTCAATGGAATTTTGTCAATTCATAATTTCAATATTCATACATTACTTTTATTTCTTTCTAGGAAGTGGCAGATGTGACACTACCCAATATTTAACGTAATAAAAAATACATAAAAAAGGGTTCTTTCAATGTCATGTTATTTCAGTGTTAAGTCAATGCAAAGACGTGTAACGCGCATAAAAATTTCCTGCGGCGCGAATGAGGCATAGAGTGCGGTGCGGTAGACGCAAATATGCTTCATTCACGTGTCAAGTTCGCGCCAATTGAGCGTCTGGCACGCTAAGCGCAAATTATTTAGTTAGTGCTTTCACGCCTTTGACGTGAATTCGCACCTGCCGCCCAAATTGAAAAATCTGAACTTTGGTGTCAATTCGCTCCACGTTAACCAATCAGGAGCCTAGCTGCTTGCTCACTTGGAGAAGGATGCTTCAATAAATTATTTTGTAATATGACTAAATGCCTTGTGTGGTTCTAATGCACAACAAAGCAAATATTTTAACACTTAAAACTTTATTTTAATATACGAGACATGTATTGAATGTTATTTATTGCATATCTAGATTATATGAAATATTATTATGATGTAAAGACAACAAACATACATGTGCATAAGTTTGTGTCTGGACGTGTGAGAGAAAAAAAAAAAATCACACGACAGGTTAATAACTTTTGGAGGCTGGCTCTATTTATCATCCCTATTTATGATCCTCGCTCCGATGCAGGACAACAGTTCATCAAATTGGACGCGGAACAGGCGGAAGTACCGCTGACAGCGGCTGTCATACAGGCGCAGCTCCTGGAGCAAGCAAATGGTGAAACTCGCCAAACAGTTCGCCTCCGAAGGGTCCGGTGGACACAAATACGGCGACGATGATCCCCATGCCGCTGTTCTGCTCTTCAGAGCAAATACAGAACGGTGACTCTCTTGATGAATGCTCGATCAACATAAAAAAGGCCGCCAACAGGTTTCAATTCTGATGCGTGTAAATTTCGCTTCAAACTTTTGTTTTTACGCGTGTCAGTTTCATTCTTGATGCGCGAATTAACACAAATTATACCATGGTCTGAGTGAATACTCGATTCTGATTGGCTGCAGGGTGTCCGTTAAAAAGTGATAGAGGACACCTAGTAAAGTAGTTCTGGTGAAACTGCCTGTTTACCATTCGAAATGAATAAATAAATGCGCTGCCCACAACAGCTGTGAGTAACCATAGCAACAGGCAGTCAAACGTCAAAGTATCCGTTAACAATTTGCTCTATCAAAACAAACACCTAACGTTAGTTAGATATTACATAGCCTACTAATACAACAATGAGCGGTGACTTCGTTATTTCTTTTAACATTTATGGAGAATATGACAACTTTGACGACTGGGATGCTGCTGAAGAAATAAAAATGTAAATGAAACGGAGAAACGTCGCAAAGAAAATGACACCGCTGCTGCTCTGAATGAGACCCTGCGGGAGTTTTACGCAGCTGTCCAGACAACCAAGGCAGGAGGAGAGTACAGCGTTTCAAGCCTAAGAAGCCTGTTTGATTAATTATTTTATGTGTAATTAAAAAAATAATAATAACTATGCCTACCTTTGTGTTTCATGAAAAACAAAAAATGCATTTTTGAACTTGAAGGGTTCTACAAGCTGAGCGGACTATAAATATCTCCGGTTGCTAAATAAACCAGGCGAGTTATTATTTGTAAAAACTTGATTTAGCCTAATTAAAATATAAACTAGCAGCTAATGTTTTAAAAATGTTTTATTTGGCAAGTGACCATGGTATAAGCGGGTTAATGCCCTTCGAGGTGTCCATTGTCAGGTTTTAATGGACTTCGGCGGAGGCAACCGTCCTCCGCTGCGCGTCGGCCGGTTTACGCCTCGCCGTCGTCCATTAAAACCTGACAATGGACACCTCGTCGGGCATTAACCCTTACGTGGTCAAGCGTCAAACTAGACGTGGTAGACGCGAATTTGACGCGCTATTCGCGTCCGGTGTGAATGCACATTTAGTGAGCAAAACGGTACGTTTCCACTAAAGCGGCAAAACTCCACTCAGTGCCGCAGGCAACCCTATAACCTCTTTACTTTGGGGTGTGTCTGTTGCGAGTGTGTTTAATCAATGTTTTTTTCAACATATAAACACAGTATAATCATCAGAGATGCACGCAATTACATTCGGAAATGGCAAGCTTTGTTTACATAAATTCCCCAAACAAGGATATCCCGTCAATTTTATAAACTTTTATGAACCCAGCCAGTATAATCACAATGAACACATCCAAAATGAATTATTTAACATATAACAACTGCAAAGCGTCTAATTTGTAAACAAAATTATTTACGCACTAAATCCAGCCTAAACTCCGGCACAATTTGCATATTTTAAAAATCTCAAAACAGACGTCACATCAATTAGCTGCCGACCTCATTTTTCGTTTGAAATTTGCATAAAGTCGAGAAATGCCCAACCTTTTGACGCTCTCAACGCTTTCACCGGTCTGCTGCAATCCCAAAATGCACTATGCGAGCGTGAAGCTTGACTTCCATAGGATTGAATTGAAACACCACGAACCGCGAATAGACCCCAAAAATTTGAACAGTAGAATAGGGAATAAGAAACACTTTGTCTGGGAGGTGTAATTTAGCTCTGTGACAGTCTTTGTGTGAAGGGAATATTAGTCCACTGAAATCCCGCGGTCGTAATAGCAGTGGGCAACATTTGTGCTCAAATGGAGATATTTGTTGGCTGAATGAAGCGGTGCATGCTGTAAATACAAGATTCACACTCAATGCCCTCGGGTGAGAGCTGTCACTCTAATGCTCAGTTAGACACTCAAATCATATCGTTTATCAGAGAACATACAGGCGGCAAAGTAAATCAATCCAACAACAAAATAATGCCTTTTAATTACATGCCAGGTTGAGTTTACTCCATGTTTTAGACCTAAACTGTCAGTCAGTATCTGGTGTTCGCGGTGAAAGTTGCTTGTTATCTACTGTGTATTGTGAAAACGCATGTACGACGAGCCTACCCTTGCCTTACTTCTCTAATGTGTATTGATTAACTCCAGTCTGTCTTACTCTAACATACTGAAGAGCTCTTATTTAATTAAGGAGACCGTTCTTTCGCTGATATGCACATTTAGAGGTATATTTGTACTGTAATAGCTCTTCCAGGGTGCAGTATATTTTGTTCATCACAGTGCTTCTTTTCTACAATCATAAAAAGCCACAGTTGATTTGCATAATCACGGTTGTAATTTGTTTCTCTTTGCATGGAGGCAATTTCCCTTTCATTTGAAGACTCTCCGTACGTAGCCCAAATTTCCAACCAAATCACTGTATGCTAAAATAGCTGAAAATGTTCATCTTTCTGTGATTTCAGATTGTCGTGCAAAGCTTGTGAAACGTACAGTAGATGTGGAAAAAAAGTGATAATTTTATGTTTAAAGCCCCCCTGAAATCACTCAATGAGTATGTTTTTTCTTTCCTGTGTTGATGTATTTCCTATTGAAATAGGAAGTGAGTGCCTTTATTTACTGAGTGCCTAATTTACATCATGGCAGGGTTATTATAGTTAATTAAAATCCATTAAAAACTGAAATAGAATAAACGTTGCCTGAAATAAAAGCTTTTGTTTTAGCTAGAACAACATTTCTTATTAAAATAACTCAAAGTAAATAAAATGTATAACTTACTAAACAAAAAACAAACAAACAAAAAACGACATTACTTGAGCAAAAATGTACTCAAAATATTAATACAAACTATAAAAAGTATCTCAATGAGACAAAAACAAATATGTATGACTTCATCAGAAGTGGTCTTGGTGAAAGGGGATGTTTTCACTCTGGAAAGCATTTGATTGGGAAAAAAATTTACATTTTTGATGTAAACTCTCAATCTGCTAAAAATCAATTGCAAACTTTTAGTAATACACCAGCAAATAGACGACCTCGAAACAAAGCCAAAAAACTCCCATATTCATTTCTTGGGGTCTTTAAGTCGAGTAAACGATTAATACATCAAGAATGTCAGCTGCTATTGGTTAGATCCATTGCGGAATCACAAAGCCTGGTGCAACTTGTCTTGCATTGAAATTGCCTTTCTTCCCTTTTGCTTTATTCGGCTTGAGAAAGTGTGAGATGATTTGTAGATGCAAAAAAACGGTGATCATTTCAGATGCCGTGATCACCATCATCAAAAGAGACGCCTCAGTCGCCCCGCTTTCATCGTAATTGACTGCCATTCTCTAAAAGATCATGGAAGAGATGCCACATGAATAAAAGTGTGAATAAAATTTGAATCAAATCAAATGACAGTCAGATAGCACCAAATATAAGCCGTGGCTCTCAAAGGGTTTCGCAGAGAACCCAGATTTTAGATTGGAGATCAAGTGAGCCAGACCTGCAACCAGCAATATCATTGTTAACTAAGATTTCTGTTGAAATAAAGCTGAAATAAAATAAAATAAAAATACTATTTGAAAAACCGTATGCCTTGGCAATAAACTAAAAGAAGTTGAAGTTTATTACCTAGAAATACTGTAAATAAAACTATAAAACTCAATAAATCAATATTTTTAATTACAGAATCACAGAATGAAAGGGCTGAAAATGAAACAAAAATCAACTACAAACTAAAAATAAAAACTACAATAAAAACTAAAATAACACTACCTGAAACTAATCTTAGGTCATAACCTGTCATTTGAAAACCACCAACTTAAAAGTATTTGCTAATTTTGACAGACTGAGTCTGTTTTCTCCCAATGTTGTTTTTGTCCATTTTTGTCACCGATGGAGTTTGGGTTCCTTTGGCGTCTCTGGCGTTCTTAGTTGGGGACACTTAAATGAGTAGTTCACTTTAAAAAAAACTTTTGGTGATAATTTACTCACCCCCAAGTCATCCAAGATGTCCATGTCTTTCTTTCTTCAGTCGAAAAGAAATTAAGGTTTTTGATGAAAACATTCCAGGATTTTTCTCCATATAATGGACTTCAATGGGGTCCAAACGGGTTTTTTTTTTTTAAAATGATTGATCGTTTTGCTAGATAAGACCCTTAAGCTGCACTGAAACTCTCATTTGGACCTTGAACCATTTGGACCCCATTGAAGTCCATTATATGGAAAAAAATCCTGGAATGTTTTCATCAAAAACCTTAATTTCTTTTCAACCAAAGAAAGAAAGACATGGACATCTTGGATGACATGGGGGTAAATTATCAGCAAAAGTTTTTTTTTTCTTTTAAAGTGAATTACTCCTTTAAAATTCAACATTGTTACTGATTTGACTGCACTGACACTATTGGATGAGAATTGAACTGAGCTGATGATGACATCACTGTTTCCACCTGAACTGAACTCATAACTGATGAACATTATACAGTCATTAAACTTGAACTGAATTAACACTGAACTGATTTCAACTGAACAAGGACTGCTGTATTGAATAATGTACTATTGTCTTTTTAGAGCTGTTTTATAGCAGAATTGAACCTTGTTTTTCACTTTAAATCTGCTTTGAATTCGATCTGTGTTGTGTGAAATACTATAGAAATAAATGTGCCCAGACTTGACTTGACTCAAACAGGTTTGGAATGACATGAGTGAGAGAAAATGACAGAATTTGAATTTTGGGGTGAACTATAATTTTAATAAAATGGGAGATGATGTGGATAAATTCTGCAGTCTCAAATCCTGCAGCTTTTGGTGAGACGTACTTCATTACTTTCCCTGCAGCTTTTGATCGGCTCATTTTGTCTAAATGTTCTTCAAACAAATAAACGCCCCCGTTGAAGTGAGGCAGACCTACTGCAGTGCGTGTCTGATATAGGCTGGGAGTGTGTGTGTGTATGTGTGTGTGGACCCAGTGGGAGATGACAGTGACGCCACTTCTTAAAAAATAAAAATAGCCCCCAAAATACAGAGCTCTTAAGGTGGATTCTTGAAATGCCAGTGCCGTTTAAGGAGGAGAAACGGAGCGCTGATGTCATGATGTCACGTCCCCTTATGCTTATATGCAATAGAGTTATTCTCCGTGTCCTAGATATAGTAGTAGTCAAAAGTGCAACAGTGGGTGTGCTAAAATTAGGGCTATCAATTGAGTCAAAGCTTTAAATAAATGAATTACACTCCCGTTGAACAGTTTGGGGTCAGTAAGATTTTTTTTACTTTTTTTTTTTTTTTTAAGTCTTTTAAGGTTGCAAAGACTATAAAGTCTATAACGTTAACAGAAAGTACAGCTTCAACGTGAATTATAAATCGTTTGTATCATATTAAATGTTTTTAACTGTCACTTTTGATCAATTGAATGCATCCATGCTGAATAAAAATGAATTTTCTTTAAAATATTTCTGACTAACCCCAAACATCTCTTAATTAAGAGAATAATTCTCTTTCTAAATAATTATTTCCATAGTACATTCAAATGCCAGATTTGCATTAACATTTTTTTTTATTAATTATACTTAACTATGTGCTAAGTTGACAGCTGTAGCTAAAACCTATGTGACTGTGTCTATTCCTTCCCCCAGCGTGTGGCGCTTTCGACCTTTTTCTGAATGAATCTATTCATGGATTCCGTAATCTTCCACAGCTTGTCTGAGAGAGAAAAGCGAGTCCCAAACTCACGGACGCAGATGGGCAGCTGTCCGGACCAGTTGTGGTCTTGCTGGCAGATCCGCACAGACGAGCCGATGAGCCGGAAGCCGGAGACGCACTGGTACACCACGGTGTCTCTGTAGCCGAAGTTCTCCCCGATCACCTGACCATTGACAATCTGCTCGGGTAAACCACAGTGGCCGGCTGAAAGGACAGGAACGAGGAGAGAGAGTGATTAAAGTGCAGCGCAGCTACATTACACTGTAAAATATTAACATCAGATGCTTTTAGAGAGACCAACTGCTTCAAGCAATTAAGTGTTTAGTGGAGTGTATGCAAATTCAAAAAAGTGAGACCTTCAGTGGAGCAGGAGAAAGAAACATGATTGAGGTCAAATGTAATTCAAGTACTTAGACACTGTGTGTGAGTGTGTTTACATGCCATTTAAAAGTTTGGGGTCATTAAGTTTTTTTTAAATTTTTTTTTTTTAGAAAATAATACTGTTATTCATCACGGATGCATTAAATTACTGATCTTTTGAACTTTCATAAAATAATAAAAAAAAAATGTTATCAGTTTTATCAAAAATAGGCACATTTTAATTTTTTTTTTCAAAGAATACCATAGTGAAAATAGGTTTTTCACTTTTTGAAATTTACAAAATATAAATTGCTAAATGTATTATCAGGATAATGACTTGAATGAAATAACGAAATAAGATTTGTTCGTTTTGATGAACGATTTCGAACAGGAGGGTCAAAAACGTGCATCACGGAAGGAACAGAGCAAGGCGAGCATTTGTGCTTATAAAACTTAAACTTTTTTTTTTTTTTTTTTTAAGGAGCGATCGTTTCGCTAGATAAGACCCTTATTCATTGTCTGGTGTCGTTTAAAGGCCTTTTGAAGCTGCACTGAAACTCTCATTTGGACCTTGAACTGTTTGGACCCCATTGAAGTCCATTATATGGAGAAAAATCCTGGAATGTTTTCATCAAAAACCTTAATTTCTTTTCGACTGAAAAGAAAGAAAGACATGGACATCTTGGATGACATTAAATTACTGACCTTTTGAACTTTCATATTTTTTGAAAGACATCTCAAACAATGTCATATTTGCATTCAAAATGTCATTATTGAGTGAAAGACACTTAATGACAGTTGTCATAAGCATGCATAAACCCTACTTCATATTCAAGACATACCGGTATGTCATGTCATGGTTATGAAGGTGTCATGTCAGTCTTTTGCACACCCCTTCATGTAAAGTATTACTGAAAGTACTACTAGAACCTAGGTTGATGATGAATTTATCACACTTAACAAGGTGTAAGAATCAAGCCACTGCCAGGCAAACATGCCTGAAACAGCAGATGCGAACAGCAGTGAATGTACAGCACATTACCCAAGCAGCGCGTCTCTGTTCCACTCCACAGACCAGAAGATAGACACTCTCTCACTGTAGATCCCACCAGCATATACCCGTTGTCACATGTAAATATGGCCGTGGCCCCAAAGGAGGTCTGACTTCCAATTTTCTTGCCATTGGGAGGAGTGGGCAGATCCCCACACGAGATGACTGAGAGGGAAGGGAGAGGGTGAGACAAACAAAGACAATCTGGAAGGTTTAAACCTTCGACTAACAGAGCCAAACAGCTGGTGGATTGCACACTTACTTTGGCAGTGGGGCCTCTCGTTCCTCCAGCTCCACGCACCATTGGCTGTGCACTGAATGTGGGCGGGGCCTAGCCGGTAATAGCCAGGATCGCAGGTGAAGATGATTTTTGTTCTGTATTCATAATGCGAGCCGTTAACGATCCGCCATCTTCCGTGTTCCAGAGAGAAAGATCCGATACTTGGACAAACCACAACTGTGCAGAAAATACACAGAAACCAGTATTCAGAAACAAATGGCCACCCGGTACCAGGTGGTACCCATACATGGTGCCAGTAGTACAACCATTAACACCCATAAAGTACTGGTAATATTTTATTATAGTTCCGTATTGTGCCATTATCGTTCTTTTGTGTGAACGGGCCTTTAAAAAATTTCTAAATGAATGCGTCTTAAAAGGCAACGTTATTTTGGTGTTGAGAAGGGTGTCTTAAAATCCTTCATTGCAAAGAGGCATTGCTTTGGAACGGCAGATATAATTGGCTCATGAATAGATGAATATTAAAGTTGAAGCAAAGAGATTTCGGTTCACTCAGCGGCCATCTTGGTTATGCACCCGGCAGCTATTTTCTATTTAGCCAACAGCAATAAAAACACAGCTCCTGCTTACTTGAAATGGAGAAAGACTGAAATTCCCCAAACTCTTTGTCTAACCTTGAACCTTTTATGGACCCTTACAAATCTTTACTTGATATATATATATATATATATATATATATATATATATTCTCTCTTAACCTCTCACTCTTCTGAGACTATTGGGAGAGTAACCCCTGATATGACGTTAACAGTATATGAACAACATAATTGTATGTGATAACCCCCAGTGACCTGCCCCTGGTTTCACAGACAAGGCTTAAGTCTAGACTCAGACTAAAATGCATGTTTTTAACTGAAAGAAACTTGCACTGACATTAAAATATGGCTCAATGATGTCTCAAGGCACTTTTATAAAAGCTACTTAAAATGGACCCTTCGCTAAGCCACGCCCAAAAACCGTCACTGGCCAATCATGTCTTAGCAACCGTATCTAGGCATGGCCGTGGGAACATATTTTATCATGGGGGTGCTGGGGGCGGGGCTTAATGGGCGTGGCTTGACAGAGTCGGCGCCAGAGCAGATCTACTGGAGGGGCACTGCCGTTTGAGAAATATTTTTACGCAAAAAAAAAAAAAAACAGAAACAGAAACACCTTTTATTATTATTATAATTATTAATAATTATTATTTGGGAATTTCCCCACCACTTTTTGCCAAGGTCGATATTGTCCCCAGCACTTTTAAACATCTCGCGGCACGGATGTACCACAGTTTATGGGATGTACCAATACAAATAAATAAAACATCCGGTTAACTAGTCTAGCAGAGCATTTATTTGTTAAATAAGAGGAGAAATAGCACGCTTAAATGTGTTGTTTTTTAAATCAAGTGATCAAAGTACTCGTTGACTCGTTGAGTGCTGATTCTCTTGTGGCTGGCGCTGCCACAAGGAACATCTTCACACGGACACAAGCTTGACCAGTTGCGGAGAAATCTCTATTCGTACCGGTGAAACCACAAAGTAAAATAAATTTAAACATTTTGTCATGTCTCTGCTTGACAACAACTGATAAACATAATCGGTTTTAATGAGGGGAAAACAATAACTATGCGAGTGTGGAATAGAACTCAGAAACTCTTTCACGTTAGTCTAATGTTCTACCACTAGACCATTACAGTACATTACTACCATTACAGCACATACAGGCGAATTTGGGGGAATGCAAGGTCTCGAGGTGCATTTTTGTTGAACTTAACTTGAGTGCCTCGTTTTGAGAATGAGGTTTCGTTCGCGAGACGCGAGCGCAACAGTTGCGTGCGCGTTCACAGGGAAAATCATTGAAACAGTTGCAGAGGGTAATGGAAAAACTCGTTCTTTGTGAACAGCCCTTAATGCCAAAGAATGCTTTAATCAAGACATCTATATTTAGTTTTTTCACATGCATAAAATGAGTGTCAAATCAATTTTGTGATGCTGGACCTCAACCAGTGTCATGTCACTCTATGCGAGATCGACTTTTGCCTTATGATAGGCAGCCAGCCTATTAATTTCTATACAACTATATTCGACAACATATGGAAATGAAATAGAAAGTGTTCTTAAAAAACATGCTGAAAAACAAAAAGTTATTTAAAGTCACGTCATATTAAATTTCAATGTAGTGAAACAGCTGTCGCCACGGGGTGCTGCAGCACCCTCAGCACCCCTAGTTCCCACGGCCATGTATCTAGGCACGGGAGGTCTGGCAAGCTTTCGAGCGAGGGAAAAATGCCGAAGCATTGTGCGTATGGATTGTGCAAATCTGATATCCTAAAAGTTTGGACGGGGAGTGGAATTTTTTAACAAAACAACAAATTAACAAAAACACCTATTGCTTGGAAATATTGATGGTTCTTTGGATATTTTAACGTAAAATAAGACGATTAAAGACAAAACAGAGGCTCACTGACATACTTTAAAATATATTTCAGCATTTTGGTAATCGACGGCCTACTACCCCTAACTAAGTAACTTTAACCCAATCCGATCGCGACTTTCCTGGTATAGACCCCTTCACGGTTGACGTCACAGAAAAAAATGCGGTGCGCAGTGCGCATGTCGGGGTCAGAAAAGTTCATTCCATCGTGCTGTAACCATAGTTTAAACCAGCTACCGGAGAATTTCTCGTCAACATGCCTACTTGTTGCGTCGATAAATACTAACTTGCGATAAATACTAACGATAAATACTAATATGCCTACTATGATTTTTGTTTTATGTATTTTTACATCGGCTATGTACACTGTGCATGCTTGTTCTAACCGTGTGTTGTGTCTTAATGAGTTTTTTTATGTTTTTTTTTTTTTTTTACATCACGCACTGACGCGATTTCCACACATCTCAGCGATAATTGGTGAAATGACAGACACACGTTTAGTTTAGCAATAATGACCCTGGAGGAAAGGTGACGGATGCTGAGTAAGTGATTAGTAGCCTAGTCGTGACAGTTTTCTAGGGAAATAACCATCAAGTCAATCAGTCTACAGTGCATCCGTCTCCAATATGATAAATAATTAACGTTACCCTGCCATGCAGGTGCAATTTGCAGTATGTATGTAGCCCGCTTGTTGATCACGACAGAGGTCTTTTTCCCCTGGCGCTGGCTCGGTAAAACCTCCGCTTTTAACACACAAAAGTCATCGCTTATATCGCTATATAAAACCGTCTGAACATGCCCACAAACTACGTAATTATACGCGTCTAGCGATTTGTAGGGTAATACCCGTGCGATCGGAGTGCAATCTCAAGCGCGTGTCATGTTTCTATGGCAACCAAAGCAGAGCTTCCGCCAAACCGCGCTTTACATTTTCTCCAATGTTTATAATAATATAAATGAACCGTCTTGTCTAATCTTAAAGTTTTGGTGGTCAGATTCAGACTCAATGAAGAGCAGAGAGCACAGATATGATCAAGCTGAACAAGCAACAAACAATCGTTATTCAAAAGGGCAAACAGTTAAAGTTATTATGCGAGTTAACTCGAGTCAGAATGTACATGTGCAAGGTTGCATTTGTCATCCATCACCGTGACATCAAGTGGACTTTTAAAGCTGAAATAATGAGTGGATTAAGCTTGGAATAACGAGAGAAATAGCATGGATAGAACTTTCTTGTCGGTGGATTAATGCATCAGTCAGTCAGTAACGAGACGACGGCTACTAAAATTAGGTAAGACAAAAAGTTTTATTTTTCGCAACTCGTGTGAAATAATATGTGACAATCGGGTCCAGTCGGGTTTGTGTCTTCCTGCAGGGTTCGGGTCCAGTTTTCAAATAATAGACGGGTCCAGGTCGGGTCCGGGCAGTACATTTATGGCATTTCTCGGGTCTGCACGGGTCCGGGTCCAACTTTTGAAATGAACGACGGGTCCGGGTCGGTTCGGTGTAGCACATTACGGGTCTCTTTCGGGTCGGGCATGAGTTTTTGGACCCGTGAAGACCTCAAAGACAGTGCATAACTTGACACAATATCATGCCGGTCTATTTAGCCGCGCCATTTTTCTGACCCCATGCTGCGCGTGCACCCAACAGAGGATTCCAATGTGTACAAACATTGAAGGGGTCTATTAGTGTTATTCCACAAGATTTAAGGATAAGCTGTTAGATTTATAATTATTAGGATTATTTTCACATTTCAAATACCCTGCTGTGCACGAGCATAGCTGTTCCTCAATTTGTGTGTTTCCCATTTGAATGGTCAGCATATGAGGCGGCAGATGCTTGCACTGGGACTATAGGCTTTAGCTTCAATTTTTAAGAAATGATTCTCTAATCGGTTGCATATTATGTCGTGAATATATCCCTCGAATGGAATACTGCAGTCCCTTTTGTCTTGCTCTCGCAGATATTTCACTTGTTCGCCAAAAAAATACTAATTATCTCATTGGGAATGTCTGACACCGGTGCATCCACACTATAATAGATGCGCCAGCCACGAAAGCTTGACAGGCGTAGCAACAGTAACTAGGCAGGGCGGGGCTTAGCGAAGGGTCAACTGAACTACGGTCTAATTCTGGCTTGATCTAAGCCCTGTCTGTGAAACCAGGTCCGGTTTGTTCTGTTCTTTTGATTGTGTTCTACTAAAAGCATAACAATAAAAAATAAAAGTCTACAAAAAACAAAAAAACCTCTTTGTCTAAATTGTTTTAATAACACTTCAAATAAGTAATCACATCTGACAACAATGATACAATACAATTAGCTTTTCTTGCTCAATGCTAAAACCCCCTGATTGTTCAGGCTGGTCCAGTAAATGCACACACTAGAGTTATCATATGCTATTAAGAGGCGGTTCTCTCTGATTCTCTGCATCTCTTTGCGTGGCCTGTACCTGAGCAGCGAGGGACCTTGTTGTGGTTGCTCCAGGTGCCGTCAGGCTGGCACACAGCGCTGGTCAACTCTTTGGAGGACAGCCGGTAGCCATCGTTGCAGAAGTAGGTCACACGTGTTCCCACAGAGTAGTCCATCGCAAGCACTCCTCCGTTAACAGGAGCCTTGGGCAGCCCACAGGACACAGCTTATGGGTGTGGGAATAAGAAGGATGTTAGGAACGTTAGGTCTTATGTTTCAAATATAATTATGACAAGATAATTAAAAAAACTCTCAACATAGCTTATCACTCTATTATATTTCACCATTAGAGCACTAAAAATTGGTTATTCGAGTGGCTGATTTAACAATACTGTAATTGGACATGCTTTTTTAAAATGGCTTTATTTAAGGTCAATACTAATATTAGGAGTAAAAGTCACAATAATGCACTTTTTTTTTACAGATGCATGAAATATTTAACGTCTGTACAATATCAGCTAAAAGAGATTAGAGTTTTTTTTTAATTGATCAGTATTGACTAATTTCAGATATTTAATTGTCTTGAGACCTTCTACCACAGAAAGTGTTGACATAAATTATTGTTGACCCATAATTGAATTCAATTTAGATAACTGAGATAAATGGCTTAATAATTGAATATACAGTACATTTTCATTTAAGAGTTAAGTATTGAACTTAAGTCTATAGACAAGGCCAGGGTTTATTTTTTAAAAATCTTGATTTATACCCCTTAAAGGGCAACGTATCCCCTGAGATACAAACATTTATAGACAATACATTCATAAAATGTCAACAAAAATGTAATAAGCTAACACTTAACAACAACCAAATATTGTAAATATGTGAAATGCATCAACTTTTACCTGAGGATGATTAGATTTCCCAGTTCCCACTACAGGTGACCATGTCATTTTAAAACGCAAAGTCACCAGATCTAAATATTCACAACAAACACCATGAAATGAGACCTACACTTTCACAGCCTCTCAAACGGTTGTCTTTTTTAATTACAAAAGGAGTTTTAGTGGTGTAAAACCATATTGAAGTTCAGATACACTTTCTAAGAGAGATCAATATTGTGTTAAAAGTAATAACTTGCATGAAATGGCAGACCCTTTTCATAAACAACGAAATAGCACTTAAAGAGTTGAACACCATCCCACTATAACTACGCTTGTCATCAGTGTTGCAAATCAGCCAATGGATCTCACTTCTCCCTTATGCAAGCAGAACATATTATTTATCAACGCACAGTACTTTTAGATGACACTAAGTATGAATCATTGCTGTGCACAAGCCATCAAGATTTATTGAGCAACAAAACCACTGGTACATTTGAGAAACAAAGAGCATTAACGGCATCGGTTCACAGCCATTCGATATCCTCCCGATAATCAAAGAGCACATATCAAGAACTGAGTCTCTGACAGTGACAGTGACGTGAGATGAACTCTTGTTGCCCAACACAAAAGGCTGAAAGTGCCCAGAATGCTTTTTGAAGTTTACAGAGTCATCTAAGTGTCACTTGATGTTAGTGGCACAGGAGCCTGTGGCCCTTAGAGGGAGTTGGGGCCCATTCTGTCACATTAGTGCTGGAGGAAGGGCCCGCATGAATGCGCCGCCTCAGAAACCATTTAGTCAGGCTCATCTCTACTGCGAAGCTGAGTCTGAGAGGATAGGTGGAGCAGGACCAACGACTCCGATGGATAAAGAGAGCTCTGAAGATTAGTCAGTAATGTGACGGGTCATGAATAAACAGTATCAGTGAGACAGTAATTACTGCGTCTCCATCACTGACCGTAAAAGCTTGTTAGAGAGGCGTCAGGAAAATTACTGATCATATCTGCAAGCGCTGAATTACTACCTGCTGACTTTAAAAAAGGCCTGCTGGGTGTTGAAGTCAATACAATACTGGTGTTAAACGAATACCTCGGGTTCAATAGTGGTATTATGGTGATTAGCGTAAACAATTATTTTGGTTCATCCCTCATTCTCTTAAAACAAAACAAGAAAAGGCACTTAAAATGAAAGAATCAGGCTATTCTGAAAATGGTTTCAATATTCACAAGACGTACAAGACATCAGTGTTAAAAAAACTTTAGTGAGATAAAATATCCTTTTCTTTACAAAATTGTTGCCTAAAACTCAACAATTACTGTAAAAATTACAACAAATTAATAAAAACAAAAAAGTGTTTCATTACATGAATATCTTCACATTTATGCTTTTAAATCCTCCTAAAATTGTCCCCATTTACTTCATCCACAGTAATCATAAAGAAAAGGAGGGATGATTAAAAAATTATTTGTTTGTGGTAATTAATATTATGCCACAAATGCTGTCGATTCAGCTTAATTTTGTAATATTAAACCTGGAACCAGAATACTACCTGTCTAATACTAATACTATCTTAAATTTAAATGTTAGCCTGGTTATTTGATATTGTGACGACCTGATGGGGGACTGCAGATGTAAAGTAGCCCTGGGGCTAATTCTGGCATATTTACATTGTTGAAAAGCTAAGATTTTCATTAATATATGGAACCTTCTTTCCGCCATAGAATGAAAAATATAAAAGGTAATTGCAACTTTTTATCTCACAATTATGACTTCTTTCTCACAATTGCGAGTTTTGCGAGATGGAAAGTCAGAATTGTGAGATATAAAGTCAGAATTACGTGATATAAAGTCGCAATTGCGAGATAAAGTCAGAATTGCGAGTTATAAAGTCAGAATTGCTAGATATAAAGTCACTATTGCGTGTTATAAAGTCAGAAATGCATGATATAAAGTCAGAATTGTGAGATTTAAACTATTCTGAGGGGGAAAAATGTTAGTCTTTTTTTCCCCTTAGAACTGGCCTGATAAGTCGCAATTGCGAGTTTGTATCTCACAATTCTGAGAAAAGATGTCAGAATTTCGACATATAAACTCGCAATTATGTTATAAAGTCAGAGTTGCGAGATGTAAACTTGCAATTGTGACAAAAAAGTCTGAATTGTGAGATAAAAAGTTGCACTTTTGTCATTTTTTCTCAGAATTGCGACTAATCACCCAATTCTGACTTTATATCTAGCAATTTTGACTTTATATCTCGCAATTCTGACTTTATAACTCGCAATTGCGAGTTTATATCTCGCAATTCTGACTTTTTTTCTCACAATTGCGAGTTTATATCTCGTAATTCTAATTTTATTTCTCAGAATTGTGAGATGTAAGCCCGCAATGGAGACAAAACAAGTCAGAATTGTGAGAAAAAAAGTCACAATTATTTTATTTTATTTTTTAATTTAGTGGTGGAAACAAGCTTCCATATTAATATGCACTGTCCCTTTAAAAAAAAAAAAAACATATCCCAGTGTTCAGGAGTCAGAGATGAAAATGGCCGGTGTTTTTATAAATCAGTTTGGAGAAATGGTAACATCAATGCAAAGGCTGGTTAAACAGCTAGAGTTCATAAAGTATTGAACCTATAATATACAGTACTTGAGTTACCAGCTACTAAACCCAAAATGGACTAGTAAACACCCATTTGCTGGGTCTTACCTTGGCAAGCAGGAACCGGGGCGTCCCAGGCGTAGGAGCCAAAGGTGGTCTTTTTGCAAACGGCGGTGCTCTTTCCAATAAGCCGGTATCCACGGTCACAGGCCCAGCGGACCAGACTGTTCACGTGTCCTCCGGTCTGGCTGCTTATGGATCCATGGACGGGAGAGTCCGGGGTGCTGCAGTACAGAGCTGTTCAGACAGACAGATACCAAACCCCATCAGTTTCTTAATCACCACGCAGACCAGAGCCCTGTGACACAGGCCGCATTCACTTACAAGCACTTAGGGATCACTCTCTTAAAGAGGACTTGTTATGCCCTTTTACAAAGTCTTGATTTTGTTTTTGGGCTCTACTAGAATAGGTTTTCATGCCTGAATGTTCAAAAACCACATTATTGCAGCTCCTCTCTTCCCAGTCTGTCAGTAACGCTCAGTTTAGTTCCTGTCTCTATGAAGCCCCTCCTTCTGAAAGCACACTGTGCTCTGATTGGTCGGCTGGAGCAGTGTCTTGTGATTGGTCAAGATCTTCGAGTGTGTTTGGGAAATGTCTTGCCTCTTATCATAACCACCAGCTTAACACACTACTCACTAACTCAAACAGGCCCCGCCCCTTTATTCTACGTATTATAATGAGGGATATTGTGACGTGTTCGTTCCCGAAACTCAAGATTACAATGGAGGCATTTCAGGGAGTTCAGAAACACTGACTCTGATATAGAGAATAACTCCCTTTGCTTTGTAACTTTGCAGAGCTTTTTCCTGCTCAAACAACAGCATTACACACTAGGGAAAGATGAAAATGTAAAAAGCACAATAGGTCCTCTTTAAGGAAGCATTGCATTTTCTGCTGTAATAACAGAACTGTAAAACTCTTATGTGCCTCATTCAACATGCGTCAGCCTGGTGTTTTGAAGACATTTCGAGAGACAGCTAGGCTGCAGATGAATATTTCATATTTGTGAAAAGGTCACATTGTCTGGTTTATTACTCGTTTTGCCCACTGAAATTTAGCTCTGGAATTTATATTACCAAGATAATTCTAGAAAGGAAGAATTCTTTTGTAAGCATGATGATTGAGCACAAGTTCTTTTCATTTAAAAAAAACAATATATATATATATATATAAATACAAAAAATATAAAAATACATAACTGCAAAAATGATTACCTTTTCTCAAATCTAACTTAAATTTTGTCAGCCACTTTTACATTTAACTCAAAAGTACCCGGTCCCAAGGTGCTTTTGGTGGATGCATTAAAAAAACAGTATACGGTATCAGTAGTTCATTTGAAAAGTATTTTTGCTATATATATATAGTATATATATATATTTTTTTTTTTAATGGATTGAATTGTTTGTTCTTTAAAATAATTAAATGCACACAAGTGTGGCATAAGTGTAAAGGACAATTTACAAAACATGAACATTTTTTTCAAAACAGAGCAAACAACAACATGCATAATGAAATTAACAACAAATTTTCTTAATATTCAAGATTTTTTTTGCTAAGAATATTTTAACCATAGTCAAGTATATTCATAAACAGTGCATTCAGAATGTATACAAGTATTTCTTCTATTATATTGCAAGTCAAATTAAATGATTTTAAATAGGATTATTTCCAACTTCTGCAGAAATAATTCTCTAATATAAAAATGAAAATAATGAATTAAAATGTATTATAACTAGATACAGTATCTGCATTTTATCATCTGACAGGATGAAATAAGTAAAAAAAAAAAATAAATAAATAAATATATATATATATATATATATATATATATATACACACTGAAAATAAAAATAACAGCTATAAAAAGAACAGATGGATGGACCCAAATGGATGGAAATCTACTTCAGCCACAGATCTGCATTTGAGGCTAAATCCATCCGGCAGGACAAATGAGCCAAAGGATGTGGCAAAAACTACAAAGAAAAGGCTTGAAAGGAAGGTTAGATTTCTGGATCCCTTTAGTGTGGATTACTCTGAAAATACTACACATGCATGTATCAAATGGTTCGAGCAGCGATAAAAATAAAGTGTTTTAAAAATGTGTTTTACAATCTGATGGTGATACAGCACCAGAATGTGAGAAGATTCGAGGGTGTGAATACTTTCTGAAGGCACTGTAGTCATACACTCACTTTGAAACCAAACAGAAGCACATCAATAAGCATGTCAGTCAAACTCAGTGAGAGACCTTGACAGAACACTGACAGAAAGCAGCTTTCATAATGTTAGACTTGCTTTTTCCCAAGTTTCACGAGAGACTGTGAGTGAATTCAAACCGATTCTCAGCCTTTGAACTGAAACAAAGTATTAGCGTGTTGATGTGGAAATTTTCATATCCTATCAACGGAAATGAACGAGCCATTTATTGTTGATTTCACAAGCTGAAAACAACTAACAGCTGGCTAAAGCCTGAAAAGCACTTAGAACGTGGGATGTCAGTTTGCATTTCATCTCAGCTCAAAGGTGCTCTGAAACACACAACCAAACATCACTTCCTTCTGTACCTGCACCAGTCATAGATGTGTGAGGGGGATGTAGGTATGAGAGCTATTTATATCTCAAATAGGCAGGTTAGAAGGAGTGTAAGCGTCTGACCTCCGCTCTCACAGGCACTTGATTAGGTTTAATTCACTCCAGGCTCGAGTTGAGCGGAAGTTCAGCCAGGATGTGCAGCACGAACAACAGTTAAAACTGGCTTTAGGAAGTCCAACTGTGATGAAAACAAAGCTGAGGTGAGCAGAGCTGACACCCTTGAGCAGAAACGGCCAAGTCTTTTGATGGAAAGTCAGTGTGGAGATATTGTGGAGAGAAAATATGTGAGCAAGGGAAGGAAAACTATTGCCTCGTGAGGTTGGGTAGATTTCGTAACACTCCAAAGATCTTTGAAACTTAAATGTACACATGCAGTGTATATACAGTATATTTCAGCAACTGCCACCGCAGTAATGTGAAATGCACATTACCGCTCAATAAAGTTCACAATAAAGCATTATTTGCCAAATGACCAGGTGGAATTAATGGAGTTACAGAGACAGTCCCCTGGAGCAACCTGAGGTTAAGTGCCTTGCTCAATGGTGATTGCTCCAGGATCAGATTACCAGCCCAGATTATAGAATAAGTAGAGATGTTTCATTATTTTCCCCATAATTGTTATTATTGCGGCTCCTCTCTTCCCAGTCTGTCAGTAACGCTCTGGGGTGCGTTTCCCGAAAGCATCGTTAGCCAACTATGGTCGCAAGTTCCGTCGTTATCAGCATAGTTTAACGAGTCGGTGTTTCCCGAAACCATCGTTCCAATGGACATTCGTAAACAGCATCGCAAAGTTGGGTGGTTTGAACGACAGCTCTCGACCTGTGATTAGGGGCATCGTTTATTTGGAGGTAATAAATCCTTATCTTGAGCAAAATAAGCAAGCTGACATTCAGCACAACCAGTGCCTTTTATTTAGAATACATACAAATGTAATTTACGTCTTTTAGTTTGTCAAAAGATTTAAAGTGCCGTGTTTGAAGAGTGCGCATGTGCGAACGTGCTCTACTATGTAAGAACGAGCCAAATAATGAGTCTGGTAATAAAGCAAAATAACTGAGAACAATTAGAAATAGTCCACAGATGACATCATTTATACATATAAAATCTAGCGTTAATTGGATCTCAAACAGTTTCATTAAAAGTAGTTATTACTCCACCACGTGTGAAACCAACGTGGTTGAACGATACTTTGCGACAGTGGGTTTCGGGAAACAGTCGTGACTAGCTAGTTGATTTTTCCAACGATGCATCGTACTATGGTAGTGAAACAGTGAACTACGTCGTTGTACGGGAAACGCACCCCTGTTAAGTTCCTGTCTCTATGAAGCCCCTCCTTCTGAAGAGCACACTGTGCTCTGATTGGTCGGCTGGAGCAGTGTGTTGTGATTGGTCAAGCTCTTCCAGCAGGTTTGGGAAATTTCAACACACTACTAACTAGTCTCGCATAGCCAGACCTTCAGACTAAATTCATAACAGCTTTCTTTGGCCAAGGCCCGCCCATAAGGCCGTTTGACCGACATGTCAAACAACCAATTACAGTTCGTTTCGTTCAGCGTCACGTTTCGGAGCGTGGAAATGTCCCCACAACAGCAGACCGGCGTGCAACAAGTCAGTCAGCATAGAAAATCAAAGAGGGAGAAGAAAACAAGCAGTAAGTCACTTGATCTTCCATAGTAGATAGGAGGGGACACACAAATAGTAAAATAAAATTGGATCTGCTGGGAATCCTTCTAAATGCTGACAAAGGGTCGGCCAGGCTTGGAAAATAATACTTCCCAAATCCCGTCGGCAAACAGGCTAAAATATCTCTTTTTGTCTCCACTAAGTGCCTCAAACAAAACTCCTGGACAATGGACATCTCTTAAAGAGTCTATGCCGTGGACCTTGCATACTTTTGAGAATCCAACGTTTAGCTGATCTTGATGAATGCTCATTGTCACACATGAAAACACAACAGTTTGTCTTCCGCAATCACACGTCTGTTTCACACGCTTTGTTTCCCGGCAGACCGAAAATAAACGCGACACTCGCGCCCCCCGGAAATCCGATAAAATTCAACCAATCAGATGACGACTTTGACATTCCTGAAGTGTTTCCTGTTAAGTGTACCATGTGCATCAGACGTGTGAGGCTCCCACTCTGATCCCATAAATTTCAGGAAAAAGGTAGTCCTTAATGCATCTGTGCATCATGTAAACTGAGAATGCAGTAATAGCTGTAAGTAGGGCTGGGTATAGATACAGATTTCCCAAATTCAATTAGCTTTGGTTTGATTCAAATTTCGATACTAACTACTCAACCAGGCCCCACCCCTTTATTCTGCGCATGAATGATTTAAATGAGAAATATTGTGACGTGTTCGTTTCCGGAAGAAAACTCAAGACTACAATGGAGGCATTTCAGGGAGTTATAGAGTCATTGATTTAGGAAATAACTCCCACTGGAACTTTGCAGACTATTTTTTTTCATGCTCAAACGGCAACATTACACACTAAAGAAAGCTGAACACGTACAAAAGCATCCATTAATATGGATTTTTTTTTATCTGCAACATTTTACATTACAATTTATATAAAGCGGGGTCTAAAAGTAAGAGATGGACAGATGTTCTTGCTTCCTTTGAAGCATAAAGATGCTTTTTGGATCATTCTAAAATCATGCTGAATTATCAGGACTTACACAACTTTGTATCTACACAGATAAGAGTTGTTCTTTTCCACGAGAACGGTGCATTGCTCACGTCTTTTCGTGGAAAAACCACAGAGACACAAGGGAAACCTGCTTTAAGTGACCACAGAAAGCCTTCATACTGGAGCTTTGCCTGTCCTGACCTTGTCCGCTCTTCTACATTTGAACACACACTCAAGCTTGAGGAACTGAAAGATGAGGTGTGGTAAGAATATGTGTATTTGGAGTCCCCAGGTCTTTGGTTGACACCCACAATGTCGAGTGTAGTATCCACTTAACCACAGTGCACTATTGGGCCAATGGGTCTCTGCCCTTTCTTGTTCTGTCAGTATGATTTTTTTCCAAGAGATTGTAAAGTGCAGAACCTAAATGGCAAAGGACATTTGTCAAACATATATGAGCTGAAGTAAGGTAGTGTGTACTGCTCCCCTGGGCAGAAAACAACAACAAAATAAACCCGACACACAAAGTTACTTCTACACAGAAATGTTAACACTGTACATGACACGTCCATCCATGAACACACACGTACACACACACATATACGTGCACATGCATTCACACACATAAGATTCTGACACATGGGTAGTTGACACATAACATCCAATAACCTTTATCCGTATCAATATGCAGATTTTAAGTTTATAATAATAATAATAATGAAATGTATCTAAGTAAAATAAGGGTGAGTAAAATAATAACAGATTGTGATTTATTTCTTAAAAATTTCGATAATTATTTTCATGTTATGGCTGATAAACACTTAAAGCAATAAATATCAAAATTATATTTTGTCTAAATAAAAACCGTTCAAAAGTTTGTGGTCGATAAGATTTTTTGTTTTGTTTTTGAAAGTCTCTTCTGCTCACCAAAGCTGCATTTATTTGACCAAAAATACAGTAAAAACAGTGATATTGTGAAACATTCTTACAATTTGAAATACTAGATTACTATTTCATTATATATTAAAAATGTAATTTATTCCTGTGCCTAAAGCTGAATTTTCAGCATCATTACGCCAGTCTTCAGTGTCACATGATCCTTCAGAAATCACTCTAATATGATGATTTGCTGCTCAAGAAACATTTATGATTAATATCAACGTTGTAAATTATTCTGCTGATAATTTTTTTGTCTGAATCCTTTAATAAATAAAAAGAAAGAACAGAAAGAACAGCATCAATATGAAACATAAATCTTTTCCAACATTATAAATGTCACTTTAAATCAATTTAATGCATCCTTCCTGAATAAAAGTTAATTTAGTGACACCAAACTTTTGAATGGTAGTGTACAAACAACATAATGAATTTAGTTAGGGATAATGGGTAAAATGGGTTTTGTGTTTTGCTTAATATAACATTAAACAGTGTTATTAAATAAATGGTGTCTTTAAAGTAAGGTAATTTAAATATAAAAATAATTGAGTTTTCAATTAAGAGTATAGGTAAGTCACACTGCAGGGAATCTACCATGTCAACTACCCAAAGTACACATGCTCATTCAAATTCAAGACCAGAGACGGAAAACGTGCAAGCAATAAAGAGATTTAAATGGATACATACTTTGATACTCACCGACATAGCGGATGCGAAACCCCTTCTTATTGGTGCCGTGGTCAGCTGACCAGCGCAGGAGAAGCTGGTGGCCCGTGGTGGTGATGTTGAACGGGGTCGGGAGGTCACCGCTCAATGTGGACAGGGTCTGACTATGAATTGTGGGTCCTTCAAAAGAAACAGAAGAGAAAGACAATTTGCAGGAGGACTGATATATTAAATTATACCAGTCAAAAAGAATGAAAAGTAGCTTGGTGCTTAGCTGGTTCACAGTTTGAAAATACTTTTGAAAATATCTTGAAAAATAGGCAAAGCAGGTAAAGTGTAGATAATAACAGCCTTGGCCACAAAGGGTGACTACTCTGTGAGAGGAAAATACACACTTATTAAACTAATGCAAGTTCAAATTACACCTTTCATATGTTGTATTTATATGTATATAAAAAATGCTACAAAAGTCAATGCAACACTTTCACAATAACATACAATCTTATAAGAAAAGGTTTTATATAGAACCTTAAAAGGTTCTATTAGCGCTACGTATTTGGAGCCCCTAAAAGGTTCATTACAGAACCATTTTTAAGGGTTCATTTATAAGAAAGTTCAATATGGAACCTTTTGGGTTCATTCATTATCACTTGTTTTGTCCTTTCCGGATTAAATATTTCATATTATTGACAAACATCAAGACCCTAAAATGTATTTATGAATGATCACAAAATTCAAGATATTGGGGTTAGAAAATGTATATAATTTTATCTACTTAATCAATATCACACAAAGAGTGCCATTTCAGTTTTTATCCTCCAAAAATCAGCATGATTATCTTGCAGAATAATGTAATATATGAATGAATAATAGCCTATAAAGAACCTTTGTGCCAAAAACGTGTCATTTTTGGCATAAAAGGTTCTTTGGAGTTGAGCAAAGAATCCTATGCTTCATAACATATGCCCAATGAAGCCTTTTTTTCTAAGAGTGTAGTTTAAATAAGAAAAAAAGTCTACCATCAAAGACTTCCAGAATGTCGTATTCCTTCTCAGTCTGGAAAAACTCAAAATACATGGTGATATTGTAGCCTTTCTCCACGTTGATGCTCCACGAACACATCTGAAGGTTGGGGTAACTGTCTGGGTAGCCAGGGCTCAAAATCACCCCGGACGAGTCGAAACGAACATCATGAGCAGGACATTGTACTGTAGAGGAAAAAAAAAACATTCTATTAGGTATTAATTTAGTATGTATCAATAAGATGGGCATGCTTTATATGGCACTACTCATGTTTCATTAGCCGCGTTTCCACTGCCGGGCCAGGGCCGGGCCGTGCTAGTGCGTGCCAGGGCCAGTCGCGTTTCCACTGTCACTTCCGGGGCTTGATCGGGGCTTCCTCAGGGCCAACGGCCAGGATTTCTGGCCCGTCAAATACCTTGGGCCAGAGGGGGCCAGCTCGGGCTAGAGGCGTGCTCAAGGTAAAAGGCGGAGTTTATCGGTGTTATGGAACGTTATGATCTGAAGCAAGATGCACATAGGGGTGTCCATGTTTAACCGATTAACCGTTTAAAATTGCATAACATTTTAATTTGAACTGTAGGCCTATGCCAAATGCTGCACAACAATACATAGGCTAGTATACAGTATATAGGCTACATATCGACGAATTTTCAGATATTTGTTTGATTTTTTTGCCCCTTAAGCATTTAAAATATTTGACAAATTAATATGAAAAAAATATATATTTTACTGGTTTTCTGAGGCCAAATTAGAACCTGGAAATGATATTTTCCCCGCAGTGCTGAATGAGAAGAGCCGTAACCACAGCCTACAGAAAGGGGATTTATGGGTGATTTATAGGCTATAATAAATGTGTCTGATAATAAAATAATATAAAATAACGAGGCATTAATTGTTTATTAATAAACTATTGTTTTCTAAATGATTTTCGGCTAAAAACATATCTCCATCTCCGGATGCACATTTAGAGAGAAATTAAGCTACATAAACATAGAAGATATTGGCTTTCGATTCGAATTTGTTCGTTTTAAATTGGACATTTAATCTACAAAGGATATAAAAGCTTTAAATGTCCAATTTAAAACGAACAAATTCGAATGCGGTGGCTGTTTCAGGTCTCGCGCTTCAGTTCACGGAGATCATGAAGCGCGCCTTGATTAATTGTTAAAGCACAACGTTTTCTTGTTATAAATACATTTATTTGCGAATAATGTATTATTATTTTCTGTATGACCAGAAATTAAAGAGTATTTTAAGTTGTTTCCACTGAAAGAAATGCAATGAAACTGTTCACATGGGCGTCTCGCAGCCATCAGTGCGTGCTCCACACACACTGGATATGCGCTGATATTTGTCAAAAATATTGTGTTTATTTGTGCTCTGTTCCTTTTTTGGATAAAGGCGTCTTCTACATATGCAGCCTAATAAAATGTTACAATAATGATGATGATGGTTATTATTATTATTATTATTTGCAGACACGGAGTTTTTGTGAAATGGACGTTTTGCTTATTTTCAATTGGCAATTTCAGTTTGAAGGGTGATGGAAATGGGGCTTTAACTGCTCCGTACTTGCTGCCTTTTATTTCTATAAATTAATTTCGTTTCAAATGAGGTCCAATCAGTTATTAAAGGTGTTAAAAATTTACTCTGTATCTCGAGGTTGCGGCGCGCACACTATGCACCGAGTATTAACCGATGGGCCTCGGTTAACGATTAATGAATAACTTGAAAACGTGCCCGCAGCCCTACTTGTTATATCGCGCAAAAAATCGCTGCTTGAAATGGAGAATCGCCTGTACTGGTCTCGTGACACTATTGCAGCCACTACGGCAGGTGAGTTAATATACATGCTATCTTCCTAATTTACAAAATAAATTAATTCATAATACCCGCTGAAATGGGTTGGGTTTTATGACGTTTGATCCAGAAAGGCATGTTAGGGGTGGGGTCTGGGGCAGCGCTGTGGGGCTACTGGCCCGGCAGTGGAAACGCAAGCCCGGTGCTTGAGGCCCGAGGCCACTAGCTCGGCCCGGCTCGCTGTTAGCTCTGGCCCAGCCCTAGCCCGGCAGTGGAAACGCGGCTATTGCTCAAATTGGGTCCGTTCAATTCTATTCTAACTGACATTAACCAAAACACAAGTAGACAAAGATGATTAAGACACTGAGAAGCTCAGAGAAACTGAACTAGAATAGATACGACAACTCTAGACTCGACACACCTACACTTGACAAAGGCAAACCACTAAATTAAATAAAACTACATTAAACTAGATAACCCAAGAAAAGACTACATTTCACTCAACAAACCTAGACCTGACGAGACTAAACTAAACCAAACTAAACTACACCCTAAAAAATGCTGGGTTGGTTTAACCCAATTTTGGGTCGAATATGGATAAACTCAAACATTGGGTTAAACATGTAATTTAAAAATATAACCAATGGCTGGGTTTGTCCATATTTGACCCAAAATTGTGTTAAAACAACCCAGCATTTTTAGAGTGTACACTTGACTTAAACAAGCTCTAGATGAGAACTACAGTAGATGAGACTGACCAAACTCGAGTAAAATAAAACTAATATATCTCGACAAAACTGAAATCAGCTGAGAGAAATTAAACTCAACTAAACTAGATAAGAAATATCAAGTGTTGTCTTATCTAGTTTCATTTAGTTAGTTAGTTTATTTTTAGTTTTGTCTATTGTTGAGTCAAATGTAGTTTTGTATTATGTACTGTAGTTTAGTCTAGTTTTATTTAGTTTAGTCCAGTTTGGTTAGGTTAATTTAGTCTAGTCTAGTTCAGGTTTGTAGAGTTGAGTTCAAAACTAAACTAGACTATTAATCTAACCAAACTGGACTAAACTAAATAAAACTAGACTAATCTAGATAACACAAGACAAGACTACAGTACACTTGACCCAACAACAAGAAAAAAACTAAACTAACTGAAAGAAGCTCTGAGAAACTAAAGGAATCTAGATAAGGAACCGAAAAACTGCATCCAATGACCTAAAGGTGTCCTAAAACTCCATCCAGTGACCTACTGGTGTCATAAAACTCCATCCAGTTACCCAATGGTGTCCTAAAACTCCTTCAGGTGACCTAATGGTGTCCTAAAACTCCATCCAGTGACCTAAATGGTGTCCTAAAAGTTCCATCCAGTGACCTAAAGGTGTCCTAAAATTCCATCAGGTGACCCAATGGTGTCCTAAAACTCCATCAGGTGACCTATTGGTGTCCTAAAACTCCATCAGGTGACCTAAAGGTGTCCTAAAACGCCATCAGGTGACCCAATGGTGTCCTAAAACGCCATCAGGTGACCCAATGGTGTCCTAAAACTCCATCAGGTGACCTAATGGTGTCCTAAAACTCCATCAAGTGACCTAATGGTGTCCTAAAACTCCATCAGGTGACCCAATGGTGTCCTAAAACTCCATCAGGTGACCTAAAGGTGTCCTAAAATTGCATCAGGTGACCCAATGCTGTCCTTAAACTCCATCAGGTGACCTAAAGGTGTCCTAAAACTCCATCACGTGACCCAATGCTGTCCTTAAACTCCATCAGGTGACCTAAAGGTGTCCTAAAACTCCATCACGTGACCTACTGTACAAGTGTCCTAAAACTCCATCAGGTGACCCAATGGTGTCCCATAAGCACATACGTAGTATGTGCATGCGTAATTTGACTGTAAAATGAAGCGCTACCCATATTTCTTCAAAAACAATAGGTGGTAATATTCTGTCATCTTGCAAAAGACCATTTTTCATCAAGTCAGCCTGAAATGTTACATACTCTGCAAAACACTTCATGAGCTCTTCCATAGCTCACTTTGTTTATTCCCCTCCGAAACTGCTTTAATGTGCATGACAAATGATTGAACTACCGTTTCCAGGCACTTTCCTGAATCTAAGCACAGGACAAATTCTAACAAAGTGAGTGCTCTCTCGTGGGGATGCAGGGAGAAGGATGGAGCCATGAAAGATTAATGGCGGCAGCTGTTTGAGCCACTAAACTCCAAGAGTCGCATCACTCATCAACAGAGAACGTGAGGGAAGAAGCAGTGACAGGGAATGACTGAGCTCTTCATGGACTATCAGCAATACCGCCTATGATCACATTTTACCCTCCATTACATGTATGATGCTCGTTCGAGTGATTTGATCTTATAGTCTATCATTCCCAGTATCCTGCGATATACTTGTGGTCGGAGATTGGACGTTTCCATGGCAACATGCTTTTCACTGAAACCTTTAACCCTGGTTCTGTGGTGCGTTCCGGTTTCTAAGAGACGATGCATTAGGCAAATAATCCTGGTAAACGGAAGCTGGTGGGCCTGTGTCTTTTTTTCTTTCTTTATTGCAGGAATAAATACAGAAATTTTACAAAATACACATATCAAAAAAATAAAATAAAATAAACACTAAATGAAAACAAAACACAGATAAACAACAATATACTGTAAGAATAAAAAAGGTAGAAAGAATGGTAACACTTTATAATTACTACACGCTAATAATCATTAGTTAAGCATGAGTAAACAGTTAATTCATCATTCATAAAGCATTAATAGACATTAATAAACAGTTTATTCAATGAACCAGTTATTTAAGAGTTGCCAGTGCTTCATAAGATCACTTAGAAAGTGTGAGTAAACATGTATTTATTAACATGTATTTATGCTGTAATTCAGGATTTTTAAAAGCATTTAGTAGTGGTCAGTTAACTATGTTTGTGAGCTCATCTAAAGTGAGGACTAGTCATGCTTTGTAAAGCATTTATAAAGGAGATTTAAAGGCTGTTAAATATTTCTGTTCTGTATCACTGTGTTGTGTTTGTTACATTTTACTGTTTAGAAGATTGATGCGCCTTTAAATCTCCTTTATAAATGCTTTACAAAGCATGAATAGTCCTCACTTTAGATGAGCTCAAAAACATAGTTAACTGACCACTACTAAATGCTTTATAACTACCTGTATTTACTACATTTACTTACACTTTCTAAGTGATCTTATGAATGACTGACAACTCTTAAATAACTGGTTTGTAAATAATGCTATACTTCATTTAGGAATTATTAATTGATCATTAAAAAAGTATGAAAATACAATTATTAAATGCATTAAAGATATGCTTATAAATGTCTATTAGTATTGGATTCGACTTTTAATCAATGGAAGGAATTGGGTATATGCACAATCAAGGACCTTTATTTTGATGGGGCGTTAGCTTCCTTTACGCAAATACAACAGAAATACAACCTTCCAAAAAATAATTTTTTTCAGATTTGTACAGATAAGGAACTACTTGCGTACACACAATGTCCCCCTGGATGAGGTCCCGCCCTCAATCAGTGACGATTGTCTCATCCAGTTTAGAGGAAACAAAAATCAGTTCTCTTTAATTTATGGAAAATTACAAGCAGCTACTTCTCCCTCTACAAACTTGATCAGAGAGGAATGGGAGCGAGAGATGGGGATTGGAATCTCTTGAAGAGATTTGGCAGAATGGTTTAGAGGATATTGATAAACAATCGGTCAATACAAGATTATGTCTCATTCAATTTAAGGTCTTACATAGATTACATTTTTCAAAAAAGAAACTACATAGGATTTTCCCCAATGTTTCGCCTCTTTGTGATAAGTGCAAATAAGAGGAAGCTGATTTAGCTCACAGTTTTATTTTCTGCCATAAAATACAGGGATTCTGGTGTGAGGTTTTTAAAATGCTTTCAGATATACTTAATGTAAACCTGGAACCTGACCCAGTGCTCATTATATTAGGACATTCTAACCATATATATTCTTTGAACAGTGCCCAACAGAAATTTCTTACATACTGTCTGATAACAGCCAAGAAACTGTTACTACTGTTTTGGAAAAAGGTTTACCTTCCTGATGCTAAACTATGGCTTGAGGAACTGATGTCTACTCTACACCTGGAACGAACTAGATACCTTTTGAAAGGCAACATGGGACAATTTCACAAGATTTGGGATCCTCTCATATGTTACCTCAATAGGAATGTTATCCTTTAATGTAATGTATTGCAGGCTGACTTAAGAGCAGTGTATTAATGTCACTGGATTGTATATTAACAGGCGGGGATGGGGTGTTGGTAACAGTAAGTTTTTGTTTTTATTATTTATTTTTTTAATTTTTTTTCTGCATATAAGAAATCTATCCTGAAACCTGTAATTATTTCAAGACTATTAACTGAATAAAAACCAATTTAACAACAAAAAAATGTCTATTAGTGCTTTATAAATGATTAATTAACTGTTTACTCATAGCGTGCAGTTATTATAAAGTGTTAGAAAAGAAAGACCTCATACTTTGAAAAATATGTCATTACACTGTAAAAAAAAATATTTTCAAGATTTGTTATCACATTATTCAGTTGAGATAACTTATTATTTTGAGTTTCTGATGATTAAATTAATCTCCTTAATTGTATTAACTCACTTTTTCCAGTTCAATCAACGTAAAATTTTAAGGCAACCCAGGTTACTTACTTTTTTAAGTTAAACCAACAATATTTTTTGCAGTGTAGTAATCACAGCATTTTTTCTTTTGTCAAATCAACTTAAATAATTGATTTAGTTCAGATAACATATCATTTTGAGTTTCTGATGATTAAATCATTCTCCTTCATTGTATTAACTCACTTTTTCCAGTTCAATGAACTTAAAATTTTAAGGCAACTTTTTTAAGTTAAACCATCAATATTTTTTTTTACAGTGTAGGTGGCGTTGAGTGTTTTAAGGTCTGTGTTTTATTCTTGAAGTGCATGCCCACCTTGGCAGGAGGGAGGGTTTCCGTCCATCTGAAGCCGTTCTCCGAGCCTGCACGTCAAAATCTCACTGCCCACGAGACTGAATCCGGGGTGACAGCGATAGCGGATAATATCACCTGATATACAGAGAGAGAATGATTAAGCATCCGTTTAATTAGCTGGGACAGCGAACCTCCGTAGCTTTAATGGAGAAAGATGGCCTGCGATGTATATCGTTTAACGCTAAACTTGAAGAGGTTGATAATTGAGCTGTAAAACAGCAGCGTTTGCAGCCTTGTCTATTGAATTGCATGTATTGGCTTTGCATGACAACCCTGCCACCATCGCCTATCTAAAAATAATCATGCGTAAGCACCTGGAAAACATCAAAGCTATGACGCATAGAAGCGTTCCTGTGCTCTGCCAGTGTCTAGGCAACAGGGCAAGGTGAATCTCCTTTACATTACTGGCCAAATTTCTATGGCGCTCATCAAAAGCTTTTGCTAGATATTTCATGCAAACATGGTTGTGCTATGAATGGGTCTTATTTAGGATACTATTTTAGTAGTCACTTTGGCAACGAGGGCAGATTGAGTCGAGACTTCTTTAATAGGTGGATGTACGCATGCGAAGCACAACATACTTTCAAGGAGCATAAATTACATTATAGTAGATGTTTTATTAGTGCTCTATCCATTTCGTAATTGAAAAGTTCCACGCAAAATGAAAATCCTGTCATCATTTTCCCTCATGTCATTCTAAACCCCTTTGACTTTCTTCGGTGAAACACAAAGGGTTTTTTTTTTCTGTCCAAAGAAAGCCAACACAATAGAACAGACATAAAACACTGAGACATTTTTCATATTTTGTGCTCTGCTGAGGAAAGAAAGTCAGAGTCAGGTTTGGAAAAACATTTTTGGGGGAACAAACCCTGAAGGAAATGATGACGGATAGCTTTCTCCAGGTATTGAAGAGAATCAGACCGTCAGAGAATATGATATTAAGTATTTAGGGCCAGTGCAAAACTCTTGGTGTTAAAAACTGCTTTCAGGATTTACTAAAAACACACATTGAAAAATTAGCACTGAAAAGGCATGGGCATTTTTGGAATTTTCTCTGATGCTAATTTGCCCTGTTTAGCAAATCTGGCCTTTATAGAGGGAATGCATTGACGTCACTTTCCCGTCGGAACAACCCCCCTCAGCCTGACTGAGTGGCAAAAGATGTGCTGGGTGACTGGATTTAATAGGGGAAACTGTGAAAATGCGACTAAAACGAACAATTTTATCAATTTAAACTAAATGTTGGACTCAATATATAGGTAAGCAATAAGGTACTCGAGGCAAGTGCTGTATCGTGAATAAGTAACGGCTGAAGGGCGTTGTTAGGCACGACGCGAAGCGGAGTGCCTGCAACCCCTTCAGCCGTTACTTATTCACGATACAGCACTTGCCTCGAGTACCTTATTGCTTTTATAAAACGGTTGCCACACAATATTACAATAAAAAACAATGTATTAGTGCAACTTTTTAATGTAGTTTAATCAATAAAAACATTCCTTCCGCTAGAAAAATATAGTCCCTGGCTGTGAACAACAACGTTCCAATGTGTAATATGCAGGAAAGCTCAAATAAAAACAACAAAACCATTCTCAAACTTTGTCTCATTCTTTTTATTTTTTTACAACACAAAATTTGTGAAATTTCCTCACACAAAGGCATAGCTTATCTCTCAGCAAACTAACAAATAAAATAATAATAAAAAACACAAGGGCACATATTTTGATAGATAACAGTTAGGTCTTTAATCTAGTTATTAATTTAGTTGCTTAAATGCTGCCTAACAAGAGATACTTTATTTATTGTTGTTTATTTAAATTTATTTGAACATCTCCGTTTATTGTGCACGCATTATTTTCAATCGACTCCGCTGTGGTGATAACCTCCTCTTTAGTTGGAGCTCAGCGCTGTCAGCGGTGTTTTCTGTTGAATGTCACTCCAGTGCTTTCTTTGTTTTAAGTTTGGCCTCCACTTTACTTTTACACTTATGTCCACTCACAGACATAATTTAAAAAGGCTAAAATGTTTAAAGTAAATTTCGATTTATATAGGTGGCATGACGATGGATAAGTGTATTTTTTCCGGCGCCCATGTTTATTAGATAAGATTAGAGCATTCACACCGCACGCAGAGGCGGCGCGGCATCGCGTAGCAGGAGCAGAGCAGGAGCAGCAGTGCCGCGATCGTTTCGGCGTTCTTTCTATTTTTGCCGCGCGGCTTACGCTGAATTAAAGCAACATTGCATTGATCATGGCCAAATTAACGCTCTGCTAACGCGTGCGGTGTGAAACCGGCGTGACAGTTCCGTAGAAGTCACGGATGGTGCGTTGAGTTCCGTCTTGGTGATTTGTTTAAAATATGCTGCAACCGTTTTCACTACACCAGTCACCGAAGCATTTCACTGCACATTGGTATATGTGTGGTTGCTAAGGGTGTTGCTAAGGGCGCAGTGATAACTAGAACCGTTGGGTGAAGCGGTCATTGCCGTGTTTTATCGTGAATAAAGCACAGCTCTTGACCAATCAGAATCAAGGATTGGAACTAACCGTTTTATAATGGTTCCTAATAAATTCCTTACAACTTACTAAACAGCCAGTGATCCATGGATATTGACATGCAGCCAGGAATCGTGTTGCCTGACATTTATGTTTGCCTGATTTCGACACCAGGGAAAAAAAAGGAATATAGACCGAAACATAAAGCAAATTTGCCTGTGAACGATTTATATAAATACAATATGTAGGTCTAAATCCAGGTATTCACTTATATCAGTGTTATATATAGCCTATATATATCATCATATCGTCCAGCCCTAAAACTTCATAGTTTTTTTTTTAGTCAGTGTTTATTATAAAATATCCAATAATGCAGAATATGCAATGATAAATATTTAATCGATGAGTTGTTAATATATATAACAATACAAAATATATGGGTATGGTTTTACACCTAAATTCAGCATATTGACACAAAATGATAACTGCAAATTCACCTTTCGCTGACTGGAGTCCATTGTATCCATTTGCTCCTCTTTCTATAGCAGTCTGTAAAAATATACCTCAGATTTTTTTGTCAAATCTAGTTGTACAGTCAATCGCAAGGCTCTTTCCCACTTTATATGTGTTGTGTTTGTTTTTCACGGCATTCACGCTGAAAACAAATACAGCCGCTCAGTCTTTTTGCCACTCATTAACTCAGTAACTGCAGGCACTCCGGCCAACGGTGATGTCACGCGCATACCCTCTATACTCTTCAGGAGCATATATCTAAAAATAGTTTTTTTTAATTGAACAAATTCTCTTTTAAAAAATCTGGTATGCTGGACCTCAAACCAACCCTTCAAGACAGTTTATTAACACAGGCCTGCCAACTCTCACGCATTCAATTGACCCAATTTTCACACCACACCCCTGATTTCTGTGTCAACCCGGTCGGTCAAATGCCTGAAAGATGAGTTTATCTATAGATCTACCTGTTGAACCACTCGTGATCGACTAGTTATATCGCAAATTAGTTAAAATATCCCATAATCTGGAGCGAGCGAATCTGCTTGCGAGACCGCTGGAGAAGTCTCACTCAAAGCTAAGGTCAAAAATTGTCAGCTATGATTAACAAAAGCAGTGTTGTGTGTTCATACCTATCTCTAACTCATTGTCCTCCATCAGGATATCTGCGTTTGAAACCTCTGGTGGAGGCTGGCAGACTCGTAACTGGTAGGCTGCAAAACAAGAGGAGGAAAGATGTGGTTACAAAGATTTGTTAAAGACAAAAAAATCTTTGGAGGAACAAACATTTTTATTGAGGATTTACTTATTATTAATCCATGGAGTCATCTGTACAAATGTACCTATAAAAGTTCTCCCATCCCCACCCTGTAGCACATCTCAGAATACACTAAATTTTGGGTCAACCCAATTTTGGGTCAAATATGGACAAACCCAGTTGGGTTAAATTTATAAATTGCATTTTTTAATCCAACATTTGGGTTTGTCCATATTTGAACCAAAATTGGGTTAAAACAACCCAACATTTTTTAGAGTGTACTACAGTATAGTTTCAATAGGAGATGCGGCGTCATACTTACTGCATGTGTTTATAGGTGCGTCATTTACAATTGTTCTTCTAATTTTAGTCTGACAATTTTAGTCAAACATCACACTTTACTGATGTTTTATTGCAGTAATCTTGGTATGATTTCCTTGGACTGATGGTTATAATGGGGAATGGTTGAATGAATGAATTAATAGTTGCATTTGAGTGACTAATTACATTTTATATTGTATATTTTGTATAGACCATTTTGCAAGATGTAAACAACACTGGTCCAGAAGCACTTCCTGTTTCAGTTTTTTAACACTACATAAAAGCTGGGATAAAATACAACCAACAGAACATATAAAACTGAATCAAAAAGTTAAACAAACATCTTTAAGATGTTTTCTTTACATGTGAAATAAAGAAAACAGTTACAAACTGAAACAGGTGTTTCTGGACCAGTGTTGTTTACATCTAGCAAAATGGTCTATTGTAATTTACCTTCGGGGACTACAGATGGAAACTAGCTTAAGCTAAATCTGGTGCAAAGCATCTTTAATTAATGCTTTTTGCACATTGTCCCTGTTGAAATAAATAAATAAACAAAAACAAAATCCATTCATTCAAAAAGAGTCCATGTGATTGGGAATTTTGCAGATTTGGCAACAGGGCCAAGCTCACGGAGATTCACTGTGTGATTGATTTCTCTGTGATTCATACTTTGCTACATCATTGAAATGACAACATTTGCACCTTATGTCTGTAAATATGTGTGTGAACGACTTTTCAGACCACTTGCGAACCTGATATTATCACATGACAGAGTCAGACATCCCACCTTTATATGCATTTCTGGAAATCGAGCGAGCGAGAGAGAAAGCCTGTGTTTCACCTGGTATTAAGATGCGTTTTCAGTAACCCAGATGCATTACCGTTACACCTGGCATTATCACGCATGTCAAATGTATCTTCGGTGACCACTTGTGTTTGGATTTTGTGGCTTTTTTCATCACACTCAACTATATCACTTGCATTTTTGTCAAACGAAGAGCCTACTATTGGATGATCAAACCTGTGTAAGACAGCGTACACAAATAAAAATCATAGCATATAATATATGGGGGGTTGTGTGTGTTGTGTCGTCTCCCGGAAATATATAGTGGGATATCTGCAGAGCAATGAGCCAATCACAGCGAAATGTAAGGTCATGTGACTTTTCTTACTTTGTTCAGCCATTATTCCAACCATACTGAAGGAAAGCAAAGTAGATGCTGAACCTGATGTCAGTGATACCCACTGGGATCGTTTCTGAACAGACTAATATTGACGTACACACTATTCAATGTCATATTTCATAATACTTCCAGGTTTATTTTGGTACAGCCCAATATTTTCTCATTCAAATTTTCCTCTGAAAAAAAAAAAAAAAACGCCCCTGGCGCAGTGTGACGTTCGGCACAGTTGAGCTGGCATCTAGTCGGTACTAATGACAGAGAGGAGCCTGCCGTGACAAATAATGATGTGATTAAGTAGGGTGACACTGAGGCGCATGGAAGGGTGACTATCACTGCGCTCCGCGACGTTAACACAGAGCCTTATCAATCGCTGGCATCTCTGACAGCGGATACACGCCCAAACAAAGTGAGCGTGTCACAGTCGTTGAAATCGCCAAGAACAAAACGATGCGCATAATGAGCAAATCACTTAAGAAGAGAAGGAATTAACCACATTTCTCCAGACACGGATTGCATGAGTAATGCGTTTGTTGTGTGAATGCAACAGCGCTGAAGCCCATTCCTGTGCAATGCATACTGTAGATAGCCGTGAGGGTTGATGATAATCACCGAGTAGCTTTGAACCGAGTTAATTACTCTGGTGTTAATGAAAACCGCGAACGCGACAGGGCCTCAAAGTTCGACACAAAGCCATAACTGTCAAGACTTCAGATTGATTGAGATGGATATCAGGAGCTCTTGGCTTTGAGGAAGGAGCGAGTGGAGGCGGAAGACGCTGGCTTTGTCTTCTCCTGCCAAGCTGAGGTTGGAATCACACTAATTAACTATTGAAGCCCACTTAGCATGTGGCTCATCTCAGCTTGCCTCCTAACGGGTTTCCTGTTGTGTTTTGGGGTAAGTGGCCAAAGTGGAACGGGAACAAAAAGGGGCAGCCGGGAAGCTCTGATCATGAGCCATGTGGCTCAAGACACAGTATAGAAGAGGCTTTTCAAGTGGCTGTGAAAAAGAAGAAAAAACAGTGGGTTGTGATTTAAACACACACACAAAATTAGCAATTACAAAACTCCTGTGTTTTTTTTTTTTTGTCCTGTGTTTTTCTTTGATGACTCAGGGACCAGGGAAGGCGGATGCGGATAGTATGTAGATGTGTGTGTACTTCTGAGAGCCATTAGAACGAATCTGCGGAATTAAGTCTTTAAAATGGGCTTTTTGGCGCTTCTCTAACTCAGAGATGCCTCTTTGATGCCCTTGGCGTCTGGACTGAATATTGAGTAAAGCCCCGCTAATAAACCTGAGTGAATTTGGAGGGCATGATCTCTGCATTTGAGAGCCCATTTCGAGCTCATAATCATATTCCATAGATTCCTGTCTAAGCTGCTTTGGCTAGATTGGCTTTAAAACACTGGAGGATGCGACATCAGAGAGCAGATTGGCAGACCCGACAGAGCCCCATTATGATTAGATAACATACTAAATGCTAGATGAATATTTCAGTTTAATGGATGGTAATTTTTTACTAATTCATATCAAAGCAGTTGGTGAAAATAAAGTTGTCTTTCAGGCTCGGTGTCCCATTTACTCAGAATCAAATGGAATCAAAGCTAAACTCATTATGATGGAACGGGGTATTCCCATGGCGAATCTGAGTAAATATAGACGCTCCTTTCCCTTTGTTATGCATTCACATCACAGTCTAAAATATCCGCAGATGGAAAATTAGTCATCTGCAATTCAATCCACGAAAGACTCAACTCATTGAGTGATAAAACAATATGGTCTGGAGCATAAAATCAATTTAAGTTTTTTTTACTTCAACTTGTATATAAAGTGTAACTCAATCATAATTCTGACATCATTTATTCACATGCATGTCTTTCTAAGCCTTGGTGGAACAAAAAAAAGTGTTATTTAAAATTTCATATGATGGTTTCAGGACACTATATGTTTAAGTCACATGGACAACATATATTATTATACTTTTCTGATGTTTTTTTTTTTTTATGACAGCGCCTGGTCCCAATCCATTTTCAGTGTATGCAACTTTTCTTTTGTGTTCCACAGAAAAAAAGAAAGTCATTCAAGTTTGGAAAAACAGAGTGAGTATATACAATTATTATAATTATTAGGTACTATCCCTTCAGTAAGAGCATTAGGGAAACTTAATATGCTAATCAGACTAATCAGAGAACTATAAATAGCATTGTTATTGTTGTTGTGACTCAAAGTCGTTTTCTCTATACATACGTCTCAGAGTCACAAACCCCGAGTGACAGCTAACAAGGGCCGAGGATCAATATGAAAGCATGTAACAAACTATAAATACTAGTCAGCAGCCCGAGGTCAATATGATCAGTGTAAACGTAAGCCACTTTATTTGCCTGCTGGGGATAGAAAACAGTATTTCCAGATTATCATTGAAACAGAATGCACCAGTTTGTAAAAAGTATCTTAAATCATTCAATATCCCACACAGGCAAATGATATAGGGCGTAAACAGTTCAAATTCAACTTGCGTTGTTAAAATAAACCCCATCGCGGTCGATGAGGAGTTGCATTCGGAGCTTGACATGTGGGGTTTATTATTATCATTAACTAAAAATTAGTATTAAAATTAAAAACATTTCTGTTAACTGAAATAAAGCTGAAATATTTCAAAAATAAGGTTACTTGAAAAAAGTAAACTAAGCGAAATTTAGAAATGTTGCTTTAATTGGCAATAAACTGAAATAAGCTAAAGTTGAAGCACTAAAATTATTAACTGAAAATTTAAATAAATTGTTATACCTGTTTTCGTTTCGTTTTCACTCTGTTTGATTGTTTCCCGTGTTCCCTAGTAAGTTTCCCTGGCTGTTAATTAGTTCTTATGTATGGGACGTAGGCCAGTAAGAGCTGTGCGTGTAAACCTCACTCCCCTGATCTTCCCCGGGTCGAATCCCGTACTATACACTTACTGAACACACCTGTTTGTTTTCTACTCATCATCTCCCTGCTTTATATACCCATAGTTTCCTCAACTTTTTTGTCGGTTTTTTTTTTTTTTGTATTAAGGTAGTTGTTATTCTGATACTCCTGTGTAATTGCTTATTAAAAGACTCGTTTATTTAACTTTGTGCATGTTCATCTACCTGACAACAATATAGTATATTATATACTGTAATATGCTATATAGACCATTTTGCAAGATGTAAACAAAGCTGGTCCAGAAGCACTTCCCGTTTCAGTTTTTTAACACTACATAAAAGCTGGGATAAAATACAACCAACAGAACATATAAAACTGAATCAAAAAGTTAAACAAACATCTTTAAGATGTTTTCTTTACATGTGAAATAAAGAAAACAGTTACAAACTGAAACAGGAAGTGTTTCTGGACCAGTGTTGTTTACATATTGCAAAATGGTCTATAATATACTATATAATATGCTATAATTACAAAATATTATATCCTTTAAAATTATAAAAAAAATAACACTGGTGTGGAGCATCTCACCATGATAACTGAGCACAAAGAAACCACTTCCACTGAAGTCGCTGTGGAACTTGATGAGGATCTGGTTGGATGTGCTGTAAACAGACTCCAGGGCTGTGTTACCACTGAACTGACCGATTTGGGGCGAACTCTGGTCTGGACCATCCCTGCAAAACACACAAATCAACATTTATCCACAGCTACATCCACTTAGAAAGGACTACGTCAAGTTGGAGTTAGAAGCAGTTTATTTACATATACAGTATATAATTTTTATATTATAATTTCATTTTTATTTATTATTTTTTTGCACAAAACCCACATTAGGCACTATAGAAGCAGAGTAAATTAAGTCATTGTCACTCCTTTTAGTGCAAACACACCTCCTAGGCAAATGAAGCTCATTATGCATTCCGCCTCGTTTCACCCGGTGTAGTTATCATTGCACTATTACTGTGGGTGGTAAATTGAATTTGTTTAAAAGATTTTCTGTTGATCATGGCAGGAGTACTGTAGTTCATTAAAATATGACCAAATGATGGGGGAAAAAAGATTTATAAGTGGGCATAAAGTCAAGCATACTTTTGCCATTTAAATTACAAGTGCAAATTCTTTGTGTGTGTGTGTGTGTGTCCTGAAACAGCCAGTAAAGGCAGTTACACATAGAGTTAATAAATTAAACATTTTAAGACTCCACTCTTTCTCAAAGTAGTTTTTAAACGTGACTTTAACCCAGTGGCCCAGCAAAAATAATGGCTCTGCAATTACACGGAGAGTAAATAAACTACGTGCTTCATACCTTGAGACTGATCTCTACTGCAGTACAATGCTGAACGCTGCTTTTATGAACCATATTGACTTAAATGGGAATTTAATCTAGACTGCAATATATCCCCTATTATTGACTGCAAGAAAAAGCAAGAAGTGCATCTCCAAAGCAGGCAGTCATTTCTCTGTGTCTACTAGTTTATTAAGCTCCATTCCTGCCATATCTGTGGTTGTCTTTACATTAGGCCAGCCCAGCAGAAATGCACAAAGTCTTGGTTCTGTACATGAACAATAGAGCTGGACTAATGAACCAGAAGACACCGTTTTATCTAGGTCACTTATGATGCATGAGATGGTCACTAGGAGCAGCTCACTAAGGAGCCGATGGAGCACCCAGAGAGAGAAAAAACGGGTTTGTTCACGAGTCTTTTGGCGTCACGCAGCTTTCGGGAAAGACTGAAGGAACATGCAACAGAAAGGCAAACTCAATTCCAGGTCACATGGACTAAAAAGTCAATAATGTAACTTCTATCCGTGGTGCAAATGCATTATTTAAAACAACAGGTTTATTGGGTACGCAGATTCCATCAATAAATAAAAGTACCCTCTGGAATTTTTCTTGAACAAGAGGGAACTCTGATATGAAAAGTGAGCAGATGACATTAATTATTGGATTCATCCTGGGTTTCATTCAATGCATTATTCCATCTCCCCCGCAACTGGGTGTCACAACGATGTGAAGGACAATTAGTCAAAAGTCTCAGCTCTTCCAAACAACCTACTGGCCTAAAGCGACTCTGTAAGGACACACACTCCAGCTAAAGGCGTACTACATCTCTCAGAAATCTATCAATAAGACATACACCAATAACTTCAAAAATAGCTTTGATTCAGAGGCTCGGAAGACGTACTTAGGGACTTATACTCAAGTATAAAATCTTTATTGTTGTTTATTTGTTCGTTATATTAGCCCTGCTAAACCTCTAGAGATACTTCTTCCTGTTTGAAGACAAGCTCACTTTGGAGTCTAAAACACCAAAGCAAATGAGCTTAATTTCCGTGAGGAGACCAAAACCAGTACAGAAAGCTAATAAAACGAAGTATGCCTAATTAGCAAAATTTCTTCCTGAAAGGTTGAAGAGACAAAGCTCAGAAGGGAAATTATGCATAAAAGCGACAAAAAGTATTTTATGCCGACAAACAATGCAACAACTTTTGAGCAAGTTAATTAAAGGGATAGTTCAAGGGCATCCAAGATGTAGGTGTCTTTGTTTCTACAGTTTTTTCTGTTATATATGTATATATATAACAGAAAACATATATATGATGTATTTATATATGAAGAGTTCAGACGCAAAATCCTCTAACTGCCATTTGAAATTTTCTTCTAAAATGATCATTTTTATCAAGCTTGTATATTTAAGTTCAGTAAGTTCACTTAAATGGCAATGAAGATTACCTATTAATTGTCAATTAAGTGAAATTACTGAACTTAAATATACAAGCTTGATAAAAATGGTCATTTTAGAAGAAAATCACAAACAAAGACACCTACATCTTGGATGCCCTTGAGGTAAGCTAAAACATATCAAAAATTAATTTCAAAGTGAACTATCCCTTTAAGGTGAATTTAAGAATTCTTATAAAAAATATATATATTTGCTGATGAACCCTGATTTTGACAATAACGTTGAACTGAATTGAACTTATATAATAATGGTAAACACATGCACAATTGGTAAATAGAGCTATATGGAATGAAATATATGGAAATATCTCCATGCTGAGCCTTTTTTGCACTTCCTGATTTCCCTTGAGAATCCTTGTCCAATGAATGGACGACCTTAGCACACGTGTGATTTGGTTTACAAATTTTGGTTCACTTGCAAAAAGAGCAGTGTGAAAGCGAACCGTACCAAAAAAAATAAATAAATAATTGATTTGGTCCGGACCAAAGCAAGTGAACTATCGGACTTTCCTGGTGTGAATACACCCTTAATAACAGTTGTCACAAACATGCATAAACCCTCCTTCATATTCATAACATATGTCATGACTATGAAGGTGTCATGTTAGTCTTATGCACAACACTTCAAGTGTTACCGTAAAGTTAGCTACTATGCAATTTGGTCTCAACAAAGTCAAGCAAAAAGAAGTTAAGTTTCCATTTTAGTAACAAGACACCACATTAGGGGACGCAGAAGCAAAACTGAATTTAATCCTGAAAATCATCTCATGACTTGAGGAACTGTGCAAAGCAATTTAAATAACCCCTTTTCAAACCAAGCAAATGTGGTGGCAGCTAGTCCTAAAATAGTTTTTGAGAGAATTAAGGGATGATTTCCTTCCACGGTTACAAGCAAGTGTGCTTTGGGGCTTCCTAGAGGACCTCAGGCTGTTTCGCACACACTGTTTCTTACGCTCAAGGACGTTTGGAGTTTCACAAAAGGCCCTCATTCATCTGCATATGCAGTCCCATCTCTCTTACTTCTTCAGCGTTATTATTATTGATCATATACTGATTAATATGAACTGATTCCAAATAATCTCATCATCACATATTTAAGAGATGAGAGTTTACCAGACAGTGATGTAGTCATAGATGGGTTCAGTGCTGAGGACGGTGAAGTTGATATAGATGCCGTTTCCAGGGGGCACCCGGACACCCCACACACAGTCCTGGAAATTGGGGTATTCAGCTGGGTGACCGGGAGAGAAGATGGTGCCGTTCATGGAGGTGATGTTTCCACCACATAGAGCTTTTGGGGAGACATAAAACAAAGTAATGCTATCACCATAAATTCTGGACATATCCAGAACATGTGCACTAAGAATTTGGCTTTCACTTTATTTTGATGGTCCCTTTAACACAATCTGTTGACTATAAGTAATGTTGCACCTACATGTCTACTATACGGTGGCCAAGAGAGCTCACCGCGCTGCAACTTGATGAAGACGATTGCAAATTCAAAAAAACGTGTGCAACTATAAAAACGCATTCAAATACAAAAATACATCCGCAAATTAAGAAAAACATCTTCATCAGTTCCACAACACACCTGTGCTCCAAGTACTCACAACACAACCAAATACAGAAACGCGCTGCAAACGTTCACAACACCACCAAATACAGAAACGTGCTGCAAATAACACGGCCCACAACGGAAATGTTTCCGGGGAACCAAATAAGTGACGGACCCGACTGGGACTTGCTTATTGCTCGTGAGCTTCCCTATGCCCTACTCCCTTCAAAGGGCAGACGGCAAAGCTCTTCAAGTGGGAATTTGGCGTGAGCATGACACCTAGTGTGTCATTTATGTAGCCATTTGGCACTTGATGAAGGGAGCAACAACAGACAACGTAACAACACAGCACTTTGTCCATCAGCTGTATAGCTGTTCTGACGACAGAAATATAATGATTAACATAACGGTTGCAAATAAATTATTCATTTTTTATTTTTACTTTATAAAAATCTGTTATAATATCCGTTTTATATATCTGTATGTCAGTGCCATACATTACCTAACATTTTTAGGAAACTCTTATAAAAATTTAAACATAAAATTAAACTATTTGTATAGTGTAACTGATTAATATCTTGCCTTCATGTTCTTCTAGATCTTTTTTTATTTATTTAGTTTAGTTTTCAGATCATTGTTCTTTTCTTATTTGTATTGTGATGACATTGAACATTGTTAACACATGTTGTATATTGTACACAAGTTGTATGTCATAATAATTTGAATCTCGGTGTTTTGCGGGGGAAAAGAAATTAAATAAAGTAGAATTTTGAGTAAGCAAGGAGTATAAACGAACTAAAAAATATATATAATATTATAATATTATTTATATATACAATATTACTTTAATAGTATAGTTTATTTGTATAGTTTATTTATAAAAAAAAATATATGCTTTGACTTCTTGTCAATAAAGGTTTTTTTGCTCTATGTTCTAGTTGGGTTCTAGTCGGGTCCGTCACTTATTTGGTTCCCCGGAAACATTTCCGTTGTGGACCGTGTTGCAGCGCGTTTCTGTATTTGGTGGTGTTGTGAACGTTTGCAGCGCGTTTCTTTATTTGGTTGTGTTGTGAGTACTTGGAGCACAGGTGTGTTGTGGAACTGATGAAGATGTTTTTCTTAATTTGCGGATGTATTTTTGTATTTGAATGCGTTTTTATAGTTGCACACGTTTTTTTGAATTTGCAATCGTCTTCATCAGGTTGCAGCGCGGTGAGCTCTCTCGGCCACCGTACTACTAACTATCAGTAGAGTGTTAGTTGAGTATTGATAGACTGGTAAGGTTAGGGTTAAGTTGATGTAGTTGCAAAATTACTTATAGTCAGTAGAGTGTCTGTCTAATGGTGTGTTCACACCGGACGCGAATAGCGCGTCAGGTGCGAATGGTTTCAATGTTAAGTCAGTGCAAAGATGCGTTACGCGCGTAAAAAATTCACGCATTTGACGCGAATGCTCGATCAACATAAAAAAGATCGCCGCCAACGGGTTTCGATTCTGACGCACATAAATTTTGCTTCAAACTTTTGTTTTTATGCGTGTGAATTTCGCTTCAAACTTTTATTTTTAATTCTGAAAAACAAAAGAGTGAAACTGATGCGCGAATTAACACAAAGTGGTCAAGCGTAAAACTAGCCGCGGTAGACGCAAAGACACGTTACGTGCGTAAAAAATTCCTGCGGCACGAATGAGGCGCAGAGCGTGGCGTGGTAGACACGAATACGCCTCATTCGTGCGCCAGGTTCACGAATGCCTCGAATTGAGCGTCAGGCGCGTTAAGAATGAATGATTTAGTTAGTGCTATTTGTGCATTCACACATTTGACGAGAATGCTCGATCAACATAAAAAAGATCGCCACCAACGGGTTTAGATTCTGACTCGCGTAAATTTTGCTTCAAACTTTTGTTTTTACGAGTGTGAATTTCGCTTCAAACTTTTGTTTTTAATTCTGAAAAACAAAAGAGTGAAACTGACGTGCAAATTAACACAAAGTGGTCAAGCGTAAAACTAGACGCGGTAGACGCAAAGACACATTACGTGTGTAAAAAATTCCTGCAGCGCGAATGAGGCGTAGAGCGTAGTTTAATGTAGTTTAAACAAAACTTTGAAGCGAAATTTACGCGCGTAAAAACAAATGTTTGAAGTGAAATTTACGCGCGTAAATTTCGCTTCAAACTTTTGTTTTTAATTCTGAAAAACAAAAGAGTGAAACTGACGCGTGAATTAACACAAAGTGGTCAAGCGTAAAACTAGACGTGGTAGAATTTGACACGCTATTCGCGTCCGGTGTGAACGAACAGTAAGGACCATCACAATTAAGTGTTTACAGATATTAAGCAGACAGTCTACTAATACTCTTATGAGAGTTAGTTACCATTGGTTGCAAAGTAACTTATAATCAACAGCATGTTCAAAAGGGACCCTCAAAATAAAGTGCACAGAAAATAATGAAAAGTACTTAATGTAAACAAGAGAGAGACATATCTGTGGCCTAGAAAAGCGGTTTAATATCGTTCAGTTCCAATCTATGCCAATAGGTGTCAGTAAACAGTTCAAGGTTACTTCATTTTGAAAATGAACAGGAGCTAGAGAAACAAGAACCAAATGACCTCGTGCATCTTTAATGTTCATCTGTTAGCAGTGATCGCTCTCCCATGGCATCACCTCATTGCGCTCTGGGAAATAATGTTGGCAATTGAGCCATTGAGAATTTGTTCTCACCATAAAGACGCAAGGCACTGTTTAACATCACACATTATGTAGTAATATTGTTGCGATAAGGCAATAAATCTCACCCGTGGGCTTGTGTATAAAGTCATCAGCTGTAAGCGACTGATGACACTTTCATTATAACTTACAGTGGCAGTTGCATGGATGAAACACTGAGGTCATTCAATTTCAATACCGAATTAAGGAGGAGTACGAGGATTTTATATTGAGGAGAGTAAAACGCCACCTTCACAGCGTGGTATAGGGTTGTTCCAGTTCCTGCTGATTCCATGGAGGCACGTTAGAGAGGTTTCACCGATGAGCGAGTAACCGGGTAAACACTCGAAAGACACCGTCATGCCCACGCTGAAGTCACTGCCTATTACGATACCATTCCTGAAAGGCCGGGGGTCAGGACAGCTCTGCAGCTGATAGGCTGATGAAAAGAAACATAAATCACAAGCGAGGAGGATGAATGCAATATACTCTCAGTATATTCTTCTTGACTCACTACTAACACATCTAATGGAGAAAAAGGACCTATTGTGCTTTTTTTACATCTTTAATTTTCTTTAGTGTGTAATGTTGCTGTTTGAGCATGGAAAAGCTCAGTGTCAGTGTTTCTGAACTCCCAAAAAAGCCTCCATTTCTTCTGTAAACGAACATTTAAATAATTAATACGCAGAATAAAGGGGCGGGGCCTGGTTGAGTTAGTTAGTAGTGTGTTAATCTACTGGTTATGGTAAGGGCCGGGACATTTCCCAAACACGCTTGAAGCAGTTGACCAATCACAACACACTGATCTAGTCAACCAATCAGAGCACATTGTGCTTTTCAGAAGGAGGGGCTTCATAGAGACAGGAACCAAACAGTGGTGTGTTTCCTGTACAACGACGTAGTTCCCTGCTTCACTACCATAGTACGATGCATCGTTGGAGAAATCAACTAGCTAGTCACGACTGTTTTCCAAAACCCACTGTCGTAAAGTATCGTTCAGTAATAACTACTTTTAATGAAACTGTTTGAGATCCAATTAACGCTAGATTTTATATGTATAAATTATGTCATCTGAGGACTATTTCTAATTGTTCTCAGTTATTTTGCTTTATTACCAGACTCAATATTTGGCTCGTTCTTACATAGTAGAGCACGTTCGCACATGCACACTCTTCAAACACGGTACTTTAAATCTTTTGAAAAACTAAAAGACGTAAATTACATGTGTATGTATTCTAAATAAAAGGCGCCGATGTGTTTAATGTTAAAAATCAAACCTATTGTACTAGAGCCCAAAATCAACACTGTAAAAAAGCATGATGTGGCCTCTTTAAAAGTCTTACCTTGGTATGTAATGTGAAATCCAGGTTTATTCTGGGAATAGTCGCTGTGGAAGAAGAAGCTTGTTTCATGGGTTGTGCTGAAGAGCGACTCAGGAACCTGCGGCCCACTGAACCTGTCAATCACTATACCGGTCTCACTAGGTCCGCTCCGGATCTCCAGGTAGTCGTGGATTGCCTCGGTGGAGAAGTTCAGGAACTGAACATGAATTCCTTAAAAAAACATATATACACAATAAGTGATACTGGTGAGTCACCAAGCTCATTCACACTCAGTTTAATGGCATGCACGTACCGAAGCCAGTGGGAAGGGTGACCGTCCAGGTGCAATCTAGACCACTCGGGTAGTTGCCAGGAAATCCAGGGCTCAGAATCACTCCGCTAACCTCTTTCATGGCTCCGCCACACTGAGCTGTGAATATACACGTGAAGATTCGCTTAATGCAATCTCAACTGCATCACTGAATGATTACAGCACCAAAAAGTTTTGAATTAAACCAATTCCACTTAAAAATCTTTTACCCCTACAGAAACAAATATGACATATTGATGTATCTTAAAATTTGAACATTTGGAAACATTTTCAATTCAGGCTCAATATGTTTACATTGATTAGTGTGTTTAATATCATTAACTATACATCATTTGTTTTGTTGTTTTTTATTAATTTTAATGTATAAGCGGACTTTTGAGTAACACTAATTCATGTTTGTTTATGTTATATATTAATATTAACTTTAATTAAATTAAACTAATTTAAATTGTGCATATATGTCTCTTAAATGCGCATGAAACAGTCACCACACTTTTTGTTTGTTTCATGGTGGAAATAGATAATCTCAGATGTGTTTTGTGAATGCAAAATGCTCAAGTTTTACTTCATTTGATCCCTTTCGGGTAACTTTGGCTGCAAATACACCCTGCTGTCATGACACGGAATGAAGATACAGGAAACTGTGCAACTGAGGTCATGTGATCCACTACTAGTCAACATGAAGAACAAGAAGAAGTTTAACCCTAGCAGTGATGATACATGAGCATATTTAAGTGCTAAGAGCTCTTGTGTACATTGTACATGTGAGCACACTTGGCCAGTAAAACTAGTTTGAATCTGAATTACAGAAGATGGGCCTCACACTGTTAAATGACTGTACAAGACAGGTGTAAAGCAGCAGTCGGCAAAAGAAACAATTTACATATTACATCAACTCCCTTGTGCTCAGTTCTTTACGTTTCACTTACTCTTAGATTGCACTGTTGCTAAAGAAGAAGTGAAACAGAGGAGCAGATAAGTACTAAACAGAAATAAAAGCAATAAACACCCACCGGTATACAGAGAAATTATCATTTGCTTGGCACAAAAACTATTGTAAAAGCTATTGTCTCTTTTAAGAGGCATCAGGCGTGGGGATTTAAGTGGTGATTCCAACAGTAATATGGAGATCCCAGCTTTGATGACACAGGAGAGGCTGGACGATGTTAATGAATATATCAGTAGTAGAAAATTACTTCAAACTTCTTTTAAACAGGAAGCAAGGGGAATTGGGCAGGTCAAGGGACAGCCAACTCAAACATGAGTCAAAGCAATATAAAATATAAACAAGATGCTCTTGATCAGAGATGGACTGATCTGAGGAAAAAGACAAACTTGGTCTCATAGAAAAGCATGCTGGCCACACAGGGTGTGCTATAAACACAAGGGCTTGATAAGAGACGTCTGGCACATCAGCTTGGCAGTCAAAGGGAATCTTCATGTTGCGTCCACAAGGACCAGATGGAAACGAGTGCATCCCCCATGAACACAAACATATAAATCAATGGCCAAATTGGTAATTTCCTCTCTCGAGTTGCTATATTTCGATTTGCAACACTCAAAGCTCACAGACTGCATTACAATCTGGGCACCGTGTTTCTAATCATTTCCAATGTCACTGAAAATGTTCAGGAAATCCAATCAACAAAAATGATAATAAAAATCTATTGAAATTCCACTTGTTGCCACTAGAAGCACTAAAGTGACTTAAAGTCAGTAAGAAACGGAAGTTGCGATTGTATTTTCTAGTATGTTGAAGGGAGGGGGTTTAACGTTTTTGTTTTAAGATTATGAGTGCACATGACTTGAAAAAAAATAATGATGTACATGATGTGCAGGGGTGACGTTTATGCAGAATAAATGATTATTGATTACTAAATGATTACTAACTATTACTAATGATTATGATTATTAAAATTACTACACCCATCACTAGAGAGAAGTCTGTTGTTTTCACTGGAAGGTCCAGTTATGACATTATGATTACTAGGTCAATTTTTTTTTTTTTTAAATGAACATATGCATGGATGAATGGTTCACAATAAGATATGCAATTAAAAAAGCATGTCGACGAAGGGTAAAATCCACATATTCAGTAATTTGAAAAACAAATGTATCTCAATTCTTTACTGATCATTTTTGTGTTAAAAAAGCTTGCCATTTATTTGGAAAAAGGCTTTTGCTCAGTAAACTTGTAAACTCAAGCTTAGAGATATCTTTGCCCTCTGAGCTGAGCAGAAAGAGGGCAAAGAGCTCAGATTGCAGGGCTCCAGACTAACTTTTTTCACTAGGAGCACAGTGGCCCTCAATGAATATTTTAGGGGCACAACCAGAAAATTTAAAGGAGTAGTTCAACTTTTGCTGATAATTTACTCACCCCCATGTCATCCAAGATGTCCATGTCTTTCTTTCTTCAGTCGAAAATAAATTACGTTTTTTTGATGAAAACATTCCAGGATTTTTCTCCATATAATGGACTTCAATGGGGTCCAAACGGTTCAAGGTCCAAAAGAGAGTTTCAGTGCAGCTTCAAAGGGCATTAAACGACACCAGACGATGAACAACGGTCTTATCTAGCCAAACTATCAGTCATTTCAAAAATAAATAAATAACTTTAAGTTTTATAAGCACAAATGCTCGCCTTGCTCTGTTCTGTGATGCGCGTTCGTGACTCTCCTGTTTGAACTCGTTCATCAAAATGAACAAATCTTTTTCCGAGTCATTTCATTCATTGAACGAACGAAAAAAGATTCCTTCATTTTGTGCCTTGGGCCAGAACAGAGCAAGGCGAGCATTTGTGCTTATAAAACTTAAAGTTTTTTAGTTATTTTTGAAATGACCGATGGTTTCTCTAGATAAGGCCCTTATTCATCGTCTGGTGTCATTTAAAGCCCTATGGAGCTGCACTGAAACTCTCATTTGGACCTTGAACCGTTTGGACCCCAATGAAGTCCATTATATGGAGAAAAATGCTGGAATGTTTTCATCAAAAACCTTAATTTCTTTTCTACTGAAGAAAGAAAGACATGGACATCTTGGATGGTGTACTCCATTAAACATTAAAACCGTAATATCAACATATTACCAAATATTCACATTTCTACTCATTTCCAGTGTATTACTAATACTTTGATAATAGATAATAGATGAGTTTAGTTTAAACACCGATGGTAACGACTGCAGTTCAGGTCTTCAGGTCTCGCCAGCACTCGTGCCAGCCCATTCTCATCCCAAGACGTCATCTAACTGACGCTTTTGACCATACGTCAGTATCCGACGTTTTAGGGTACCCTTTAACGTCAGTTAGATGACGCTAGACATCTAACTGACGCCCCAGGATCGTCATCTAACTGACATTAAAGGGTACCCTAAAACGTAGGATGTTGATGTATGGTCAAATGCGTCAGTTAAATGACGTCTTGGGATCAGAATGTGTTGCTTGTGCGATATCAACCGCCGGGTGATGACGCCGTAAATGACAGGTCATGTTCGAGATTTGGCACTCACATTGAACAGTGTTTACGAAGAGTAATCATTGTTTTTATTATCGCTGTTGTAATGTATTCTTTTGGAAGCCAGCAAGTGAATTTAACTGGCACACTAGCCGCAGGTCGGAAGAACAAGTCAACAGTTCGCTTGTCATTTGTCTCCTTCCCACAGACGTTTAAAAGCGCGCTCAATTATCTTTAGGACCTTCCCTCTCCACACATTAGCCACTTACAGTGGCCATTCCCTATTCTTCTCACACACATTGGCCTACCACACATTCCGGATTCATGTTTAACGTGTAAAAAAAGGGACAAATTTAATGTTCACACATGTAAAATTCAGTCGCACACTCTCAAATTTCGGTCGCAAGTCTGGAGCCCTGGATTGTGTAAGAGCAGCTGGGTGGTGAATTATTGAGCTGAGGCTAAAACAGTTGAAAAATGAAGCGAAACGCTGAAACATAAAGGTTCTAGTTGGCTTTCACTAAAGGGCCCCATAAATAAACACCAGATAATCCATCACAATGTTCTATAGCACGATCGAAAACTCTGGCGCGCTCTGCATTTTAGGTTCAAAATTAAATAAAACCTGTCGGGACAGGAGAAGCTTAAGGAGGAGACGATGAATCAAACTTCAGCCGAAACTCACATAACCCATTGTGGTGCCTCATATTCAATTGCTGGGAATCTGAAACTGAGAAAAACAATCTTCACTTGAATTTAATAAGACCGTACCGAGGCAAAGAGGAACCGGATAATTCCACCTCCTCACTGGTCCAGGCATGCATGTGATATGGGCATTTCCCTAGACAGAAACAAAACAGATCAACATTTTTGAATCACAAATACAGCACTGTGCTCCCAGGAATCTATATTTGAATGAAAAACTATTTACAAAGAAGTGATCAATGCACAAAAGAGTATCACCTGTAAAGAGTATCCTTGCTCACACTGGAACATCACAACATCTCCCACCATGTATCGATCTCCAACTCTAATCCCATAGGTTGGAGTCTGAGGCTCTGGACATGTATCTAGGCCAATAGCTGTAAACACACAGAGATCAAAACTGCTGCAATCTTCAGGCTAATAGAAAAATCTCCACAGAGTAGCACAGACCGCTACTGTTCGGAAAAAAAAAAAAAAAGATTTCAGGCTCAGGTTCCAGGATCTGGAGTGCTGGTGTCTGAAAACATTTGGCCAGAAGGAGCGTTTTCTGGCTAATTATTTTATGGATGTAAATATGAACACCTGGCTCTGTTTTGTGTAGAACAGGTGTCTCTCTCTGGCTCAGCATCTGCAGTCATACAGATCCTTTGGCAGAATCCTGGTATGAAAATACGTTTGTTGGCTGAGAGCAGCTCTTTCCATTGGCATTATCCCTTTGATTACTTGCTATACAAAGAAGGTGGAAAATTTCTGTCAATCTATCTATCTATCTATCTTATGAACTGCTCTGAGACAAGAAGGTTGAGATCCATATGCAGCTTTTAATAATGGGGCAATCCAGACACGTAATCCAATGTACAGGCAAAAGGTCAAAACACACGTAGGTAGTCCAAACAAACAAAACACACAAGGTTGGGAACAAAGCAAATGGGTAATCCAAAGGCAGGCAGAGAGTCCAAAAACTGGAATACATGACACCAGAAAAATGCTCAGAAATGCAGCGCAACAACTAGGGATGTCCCGATCAGGTTTTTTTGCCCTCGAGTCCGAGTCCGAGTCATTTGATTTTGAGTATCTACCGATACAAAGCCCCGATCCGATACTTCTATAATGTATTCAAAAAAGAATAAAGACGAGCGAAAAAACAGATCCAGATTCCAGGATGTTCCTAATTTTTTATTTTTTATTTAATTCGCCTTATTTTAACATTTGACAACTCTGTTAACAAACAGAGCACTTCTGTGAGGTAGCTTGAACAATCAGGTAATGAACATCAATTCTTCACTTTTGGACTTGTATGCAAAAGTATATATATATGAAGAGTTCAGATGCAAAAGCCTCTAAATGCCATTTGAAATTTTCTTATTTAATGATGATTTTTTATCAAACTTGTATATTTAAGTTCAGTAATTTCACTTAAATGGTAATGATAATTACCTATTAATTGTTATTTAAGTGAAATTACTGAACTTAAATATACAAGTTTGATAAAAATCATCATTCTAGAAGAAAATTTCAAATGGCACTTAGAGGCTTTTGCATCTGAACTCTTCATATATATATAAATATAAAAGTCTGAAATAAAGACAAATAGCACTCATTACGATCATTTGTGCTATCTTGGCTCAGCTGTGATGTCCTGTGGCTTCTCACAATCAAGGGGCATTTTTCTCTCCTCTTAAAACTCTCTTGCAGCGTGAGCCGACTCGTCTTCGGCGGCATTGCCTGGGTAAACTCGCTTGTGTCGGGTGTTTGTTTTTAATGTGCCATATCAGGTTTGTTGTGTTAAATGTAGACTTTTTCTTTCCACCTCTTGAGATCCCAAGTTTACATATCTCACAGTTTGCCATTTGGCAATGTTGTTTTCATCAACTTTATAATGTTAAGCATAAATATACTGATAAAGACACAGTCAGCAGTATTGACGGCAAAATAGACCACAGAATAGTTCGTTCTGCATTGACAGGTTCAATATTTAAAAATTGATAATTATTTATTTATTTTTAAATTATATTTATATCAGAATGGATGGACTTTCAACCATCAACATTTCATTTATTAATATGTATTTGTGTACTAAATAACATATAAACATCTTTTCCTATTCTATTTTGCCTGGAAATGCTTCCAAAGCTTGTGTGTCGCGTGAAAAATAGGCGTCGGTTCTATTTCTAGCAAGCTCTAACCTACCTGTTAAATGGTAAATGGTAAATGGACTGCATTTATATAGCGCCTTCATAGACCTAATGGCCACCAAAGCGCTTTACATTTTGCCTCACATTCACCCATTCATACACTCTTTCATACACCGACGGCGGTGTCAGCCATGCAAGGCGCCATCCAGCTCGTCGGGAGCAGCTGGGGTTAGGTGTCTTGCTCATGGACACCTCGACACTTGGTCAGGTGGAACCGAGGATTGAACCACCAACCTTTCGGATCGTACAACCCACATGAACCACTGAGCCACTGCCGCCCTGTTAACATGGGAGCTGAAATAAAAACGGACACGCCACGCAGCTGAGATGCCGCCATACAGCCAGTGTGTCACAGGACACTCTGTGCCACCGCAAAAAATACTGTGTTAAAAATATGTTAAAAATACTCAAAATATATATACATGTATATCCGAGTCCTGATCGGGAGGTTACATCCGATTCTGATCGAGTCTGAAACCACTTGATCGGGCCCAATTTCCGATCATGTGATCGGAACATCCCTAGCAACAACATACAAGACTTCGCAAGGAATGAATGAGTGTACATGGTTTCAATTTTAAATCTATCTATCTATCTATCTATCTATCTATCTATCTATCTATCTATCTATCTATCTATCTATCTATCTATCTATCTATCTATCTATCTATCTATCTATCTATCTATCTATCTATCTATCTCTATAGAAAATTGACAAGCAAAGGGATCTCCCCAAGAGGTCAAGGGTGGGGTAATAAATACAGATGAGAAGGATGTTGAGCTTTATTTACCCTTTACCCGGTCATTTAAAGGGCATCAAGAGAGTAATGTTGTTATAGTTGTACCTGTGTATTCCAGATGGAAGCCGGCTGCTGACACACTGATGTCTGACACAAAGTTCAGGTAGAGGTTGTTAGACGTGCTATTCAGGAGCTGAGGAATGGTGGTTCCTGATAAAGGAGAAACTGCGTTATGAATGTTGAAGATTAAGAAAAGCTGTGATTCTTTAGTTCTGCACAGTCAAAATCACACCAGCTGGGGTTGAAATAAAAAACAGATAAGGTGGATTACCAAGCAAAGACGTTTAGAGCATATGGAAGGGTGGCCTAAGACCACATAAGACTCTTATAAATGGGAACATCTTTAATGTTCATGCTGTGAAGAAAAGTTCTGGTACACCTGTTAACATTTGTCTTTTGACATGGAAACCTCCCTGTTTTAAATACTTCCTGCTGTACAGGTCAACTTCTGAGCTGCTGGAAACATCAACATTAACTGCTCCAGCAGCGCAGCCATAAAAACCTTCCCTGTCTCTGAAAGCAAGATAAAGTCGTTATTCCCAACAGGACACTCTGAAGCAATGTTTCCCATCCTCCAGGAATAGCACAGAAACACTGTTACAAAAACACTGCAAACCATGTCTTCATGACAAGAAGAGCATTGAGCCATCAGGTCTCCGCAATGACAAGCTGTTAGCATCAGTACACTTCCTCCGACCGCTCGGTTAACAAACAAATGAAGTGCTGAGTGTCGAGGTGCAGAACCCATTACACGTGCTGCCAGGCAGAGCAATTCATTAGCTATCCAAAAACAGCAGTGAGCCGGGAACTTGAGCCTCCTCCAAGTTTGCTGGCTTCAAAAATTTCAAACAATTTTTCAAGGTGTGACTCAATTAGTGATATCAAGTTCTGCTGAGCAATCTTCAATGTTTTTATTTGAATTTATTTTCAGCTAAGATTAAAGCTTATTTTGTTTGGAAGGAGGCATCAAACCCCTCCTAATGTAATATGGCTGTAATATGAATTACACAAGCTTATAAAATGACACTAGTCAGCAATACTAGATTCTGAATGGTCAATCGTGGCTTTCAGCAGTGAGATATTTCTGAATGATGATCATTGCACGCAGCATAACCAACCTTATTCCTTACGATTATTAAAAATGATCTACATAAATGTAATAGTGTCGAGTCTATAGTATATTTCTTTTCCATATTTTCAAAACCCAAATTGGGGTTCGCAAAGAAATACAGCTTATAATTTAAAATAAAAAGATAAACTATTTTTTTTTTTTTTACCTGCATGGCATGTGACCATTGATTAAGTAAAAAACAAACAAACAAACAAAAAAACGTGAACATGCAAATGTGTTGTTAAAATATTCAAATATTAACTTAAAATCTCATGTGGTGACAGACAAAAAAGTAGACCTAAATATACATTAAATACTGATGAGGGTCCTTAAAGTGAGAGATTTCAACTTCTAAAACAGGAAAAAGCATGTCGTTTTCTAGTAGTTAAGCTCTCACCTGAATAGCTGCCCAGTCTGGGTGCATTGTTGTCTGCGCCATCATAGAAATCCAGAGAATCCCAGTTATGTTCAGTGGCAAAACTCACAACTTGGATCTGATTTATAAAGAGAGTAAATACATGAGCAAGAAGTGGTAGATAAAAAGCACAAAGGCAATACAGTATGGAACTCCTTCCTGTCTGTCTATCTGTGTCTGTCTTGTGTCTGTAAGTGTCTGCCTGTATGTCTATCTATCTGTGTCTGTCTTTGTCTGTCTGTCTGTCTGTATGTGTCTGTCTATCTGTGCCTGTCTGTGTCTGTCTGTCTGTGTCTGTCCGTCTGACTGTGTCTGTCTTTTTCTGTATGTGTCTGTCTTTCTATCTGTGTCTGTCTGTCTGTCTGACTGTGTCTATCTTTTTCTGTATGTGTCTGTCTGTCTATATGTGTCTGTCTTTTTCTGTATGTGTCTGTCTGTCTATCTGTGTCTGTCTTTGTCTGTCTGTCTGTCTATCTGTCTGTGTCTGTCTGTCTGACTGTGCCCGTCTTTTTCTGTATGTGTCTGTCTGTCTCTATCTATCTATCTATCTATCTATCTATCTATCTATCTATCTATCTATCTATCTATCTATCTATCTATCTATCTATCTATCTATCTATCTATCTATCTATCTATCTATCTATCATCTATCTATCTTTTACATTGCACAAAATAAAAATAAAATTCTGTTTATTTTAACTTTTATATTCTGAGAAAAGGTTTACATAAATATTGATAATAAGAAATATTTCTTGAGCAGCAAACCAGCATATTAGAATGATTTCTGAAAGATCATGTAATGATGCTGAAAATTCAGCTTTGCATCATGACATTTTACAAAATATTCACATAGGAAACAGTTATTTCCCGTGCAGACAGCATCACTGGTTATAATGAACATAGTTTTTGGGGAATTTTTGTATTCGACATAAAATCACTCAATTTGCAAAAAAAAAAAAAAAAAAAACAAACAAACAAAAAAAAAAACAGGCAAGGTGAAGAAACTGACTGTCACTGAAGTTTGTAACTGTACTCCCCATCATTTCTAAATTAAACATTGCCTAATGTATAATTCATAAGACATTAAGAATTCCCTTTATTGTAGTTTTAAACTTTTCGATCACTGATGCTTCTTGTCTGAAACATTTAATTTGAGGAACTTCAAACAAGCTCCTCCACTCACTTGTATCCCAGCTCCCTCTGGAACAGACACCTTCCACACACAGTTGAGGTTGTTATCGTAGGGTTCCGGGTAACCCGGGGACAAAATGGTCCCCTTACGCATCGCCAGAATCCCTCCACAAGGCACTGTGAAGACGAATCAAAAGACAGGAAAGTGTGTTACAATAAGCATTGACTTCCAGTCCTGTGTAAATGGATGGAATTCATCAACCTTGGTAGAAAAGAGAAGCAACTTTTGATGAGTAATCAAAGCCAACGTGGCCATACATGATTACTCACGACTAGGCCTTGATGCTTTCCTGCCTTTAAAAATATACTTGCTTTTTTAAACTGGTACTGAGTAGGTGTTTCTATGATTCTGTAATCAGCATCCAACTAGGTTTTACATTTAGCTAAACTAAAATTATTATTTTTTTAAATGGAATGAAAAATGCTACACAGATATTGTCTTAAAGGTAAAAGTTAATGTGATTATAAGATACAGAAGATATATGCACATCATTTCTCAGCCCACTTTTTAAAGAGGACCTATTTTGCCCTTTTACAAAGATTTTGTTTTTGGGCTCTACTAGAAATGAATGTTCAAAAAAACATTATTTCCCCCTGTTCTCCATTGTTGCGGCTCCTCTCTTCCCAGTCTGTCAGTAACGCTCTGTTTAGTTCCCGTCTCTATGAAGCCCCTCCTTCTGAAAAGCACACTGTGTTCTGATTGGTCGGCTGGACCAGTGTGTTGTGATTGGTCAAGTGCTTTGAGTGTGTTTGGGAAATGTCCCGCCCCTTACCATCAGTTTAACACACTACTAACTAAGTCAACCAGGCCCCGCCCCTTTATTCAGCGTATGAATTATTTAAATGAGGAATATTGTGACGTGTTCGTTCCCGGAAGAAAACTCAAGACTATAATGGAGAAGTTTCAGGAGTTCAGAAACACTGACACTGATATAGAGAATAACATTACACACTAAAGAAAGATGAAGATGTCCAAAAGCATAAAAAGCATTTAAAGGTAGAAGTGTCTGTCGATGTGGTGTGTATTGACCGTTTGGAATGACATAAAGATAGATAAATGACAGAATTTTTATTTTTGGCTGAACCGTTTCTTTAAGTTACGTTCTCCGTCCTGCATTTAAAAAGCACAAGGTAGCACAGAAAAATCCGGAAAGACTGTATAAGACTGCCCTCAAACCATATTCACTTTATAGCCCTTAATCCTGTAATTGTGGACAAATGTGGGCACAGAGGACTCAGGTGTGATCCTAATTTTTTTTCTTTATTATATATGTTATATCATTGTCTTCTGGTGTTTTTTTTTATTTTGGGGGCATTTTGGAATTTATTTACTTCAAAAAGTACCATATTTTCTATGTAAATTATGCTTATTTTTATGTTTTATTTTAATTATTTTTTAACTACATTAAAATATCATTCCAATCAGTTCTTAGAGCTAAAACCTAAGGATGAAGTGACTTTGCTGTCACCTGTTGTCTTACTTTGGCTTATTTTAGAATGAATCACATAAATCACAGTTTTTCCCATTCATTTCTATGGGTGCCCATTTTTGACCCAAATACAAGATTAAGGAGTTTCTTTTTTTCACCCACTTAACATTGTAGAATTGAGTCAAAATAATTGTGTGTGTTCAGGAGGCAAACTTAGAAAAAGTAGCCAAGTCTTGTACCGCTCAGATCAAGGGAAGTATTTTTTTTTAAATAAATCAAAACTATTTTGCCCACATTTGTCCACAATACAGTTTTAGGGTTAGGCATTTTTCTCTTGTTTGCTGCAAATCCTGTCAGCTATTGTCTCGAGCAGCGCTGGAAGCCACTGAGTGGATCTGTCAATAACAAAGCACAGGCTGCTATCTGACTCTGGCAGGGCAGAACTGTCTTTGTTATCCCATGCTTAGGTAAGATGCTATCTGTCAAGGACAAGCGGATAATCTAGAGGTCAAAGCCAATCACTTTGTTTAAACAGCTACGAGTGGGTAGGGACATCCTGATTGATGCAGAAAGAGAGCGGGATAGAGAGCGAGGAGAAACGGGGAGGCAGGGCTCAATATATCTGTGTCAGATTCTTCAATTATTAACCAAATTCACTTCCCTAGAATTTTGGGGTCATTCATTTTTAACCAGTGATATATAGAATTCAGCATGCGCTCAGGTGATCCTGAAATACCACAGATTTCTGACCTTTTACACAGAGATGAGCAGGGAGACAAAACAAGGTGTGAAACAATAAAGCAGAAGCAACATTACATTTTCATTTCATAACATTAAAGAAGCATCTCATATTTTGTCAGCGTTTGTAACATATAGGTCAGGGGTCGGCAAGTAAGGTTGGCATCGGGCGAACATAGTCAATGGATAATTTAAAGGGTGCGTATCATACTTTTAAATCATTAATTTTTACACATAAATCATACATTTGTGGTCTATGTAAAGCATAACTGCAATGCTTGAGTCTGAATTCCTCATTATTATAGCTCCACAGGCCCCTTTTCTACCCCTTTTCTGATGTGCGTTTGTGAGAGACCCATTTTGAAGCGGCCCCTTTAAATAAAAAGGAGATGTGTCACACCCCGCCCGCTCTCTAGGTCGCTGAGTTCACACTCGGTTCAACTCCACCCCGTTCGGCCATTCTTGTAGTTTGATTAGAGATATACGATTATATACCCCAAAGTTAAACGGTTGAGTTTTTACCATTTTCGAATCCATACAGCCGATTTTCTGATGTTTAGAAGAATATCAGTAACCAGACAGTTTCTGGTCCCATTGACTTCCATAGTAGGAAAACATATATAATATGGAAGTCAATGAGACCAGAAACTGTCTGGTTACTGATATTCTTCTAAATATCAGAAAATTGGCTACATGGATTCGAAAACTGTTGAACTCTGGGGTACTTGTAAAATGAGCCTATTTTCAATATGCGTGTGTGTGTGTGTGTATATATATATATATATATATATATTAGGGCTGTCAGTTTAACGCGTTATTAACGGCGTTAACGCAAACCCATTTTAACGGCGTTAATTTTTTTATCGCGCGATTAACGGTCTTTTTGTCCTAGCAAACTTTGTAGTTTTTTCACATACTTTTGCAACAGGACGCGGCATGCGTCCTGATCCATTTCGGCGTCTCGCGCTCGTCATCCTCTCAAAGCCTGCTCGCAAGCCCAAACGTGTGTTTGCGGCGTGCCTGTTGTTTTGTTTCCGTTCTAGCTAGATCCGCTTGCGCTTTGGTCGAAGAAGCAACAAAACGTCCTCGCGCAGCGCAAGCCATTGAAATGAATGGGTTCAGAGCACAGCGCGAGAACGTTTTGTGCCGCACACACTCGTTTCGGCTTGCGAGCCGGCCAAATAGTAACGTTACGTTTTGAGTGGATGACGAGCGCGGGACGCCGAAATGGATGCCCTTAGAAGATTCTGAATGGAAAGTTTACTTTTAAAAAGTTGCCAAATTGTCCCATTGACAAGACCAAGTGATCTGTGTGTTTTGTCGTTGTGAACTGAGCTATCATCATTGTAGCACGTCCAGTCTGAAACACCACTTGATGCTTGATGATGGCCAACACACACATACACACACAGATGATGCGAATTCTCCACCCCCTCGTCAATATCAGGACCTCGTCAGTATTTCTTTCACCCTTTTATTGATAGACAGTGTTACATTGTGTGAGAGATTATTTATATGTTGGTGTGAAATTGAACACTATTCCAATTTTATTTTCAATAATAATAATAACAATAAAAACATTTGCACTAAACAAGCCGATCCACTTTTCCATGTTGACAAGATCATTAAAATGAGAAAAAAATAATGTAACAAAAAGAAATCAAAAGACATTTAGAATAGATAAAATTATGCGATTAATCGCGAGTTAACTATGACATTAATGCGATTAATCGCGATTAAATATTTTAATCGTTTGACAGCACTATTATATATATATATATATACTTTGTATATATATATATATATATATATATTCAGCAGTCAGTCAAACCCAAATTTGGAGAAAATATGGACAAACCCAAATGTTTTGTTAAAAACAAATGCACAGTTGAAAGTGAAAGTTGAAGTTGGGTTAAAATTTTAAATTACATTTATAACCCAACATTTGGGTTTGTCTATATTTTCCATATATTGGGTTAAAACAACCCAGCATTGTTTAGAATGTATATACTAATATATACTGACTGCTAAACACAGTTATTGCTATCAGCCTAAATATGACAGGAAACACATAATGGTCAAATGTGTAGCAGAAAGAGAGATTGACAGAGACACAATTAGGTAGCTTATTGAAATCAGACCTCTTACTCTGCTAAACACCTCTCTAAAAGAGTAAACAGCTGAAGAGTGTCTGCTTGTATCATGATATTTGGTTTCACTGTGCTAACTCAAACACAATCTGCCTAATGAACTGTGCTCAAGTAAAAGTTACTCCCGGTCACATTCTGCACAGCTTTACTTCAGCTTGTGTTTTGCTATCATTCAGCTAACTATGCTTGGCCACACAACCTAACTGTGAAGACAAAAGGCCACATCGATTGTACTTACCGATGCAAGTGGGCAGTGTGTCGTTCCACTGAGCCAGAGCATCAGGGACGGTTTCACAGTGAATGGCAGAGGAGCCGTGGAGTGTGTAGCCCGGGTTACACTCGAACATCACTGATGCACCCACGGCGAAGTTGTTGCCAATGCGCTTGCCGAAGCGAGGCTCTGGAACAGAATTGCACTGCGTGGCGCTGGTCCTTGGTACAGCTGAGACAGAATCATACAAGAGACACTTAGAGAGTTTTACCTCACAAAGGAGTGTCTTTGTGTTTCTATTGGGGTGTAATGGTACACGTATTGCTATCAAACTATTCAGAGTTGTTTTAATCACTGCACGTGCTGAACTTTGTGTGCGCAACAATTTTCCCTCTAGGATGGGACGATATGGCTTATTGATATACTTTGATGTAGAATATCAGCTCAAATGGATAGTTCATCCGAATCAGATGTTGAACACACAGAGGAGGTTTGAGATGATATTCACTAATGATCGCGCGCGTGAGATCGACAATCGACTACTGTGGGCTTCGACCGAAAACAGGAAGCAAATAGAGGTACGTGAGCTGGCTGAATTTTAACATCATTTTTATTCATGTCTTTCACATCCATTGCAGTCAGGTTTAGAACATGCCCCATTGAAGTCAACAGGGTGAGAATTTTAAAAAGACGATAAAACGGGGTAGGCAACACCGATTTTTGTCGTTTTTGTCTGTACTGAAAGCACTCCAAATGTAAAAAAAAAAAAAAAGAGCTCAATGTTAAAATTTACCGTAGTTCTCCTTTAAGCATTTCAAACTAAACCATAAACCTACATGGCTTGCCCTACTAACAGATGCATGTTGTTAAAGGGTTAGTTCACCCAAAAATGAAAATTAAGTCATTAATTACTCACCCCCATGCTGTACCAACCCCGTAAGGCCTTCGTTCGTCTTCGGAACACAAATGAAGATATTTTTGATTAAATTTGAGAGCTGCATAACTACAGTACCACATAGACTTCCGGGACTGGCTCTTGACGGCCTAGAAAGTCAATGAAGAAAATGTTTAAATATCCCATGTGACTACTGTGGCTCAACTATACGTTTATCAAGCGACGAGAATACTTTTTGTGCGAAAAAAAACAAACAAAAATAACGACGTTATTCGACTTTTCCTTTTCTTCCTTGATGGCCTGAAACGAGACTTCCATACGATTTCCACGACACATGCGCGAGAACTGAACTGAAGTAGTGTAAGGAGATCGCAATTCTCGCGCATGCGTCGTGGAAATCTAAGGAAGTCTCGTTTCAGGCCAACAAGGAAGAAAAGGAAAAGTCGAATAAAGTCGTTATTTTTGTTTGCTTTTTCGCACAAAAAGTATTCTCGTCGCTTGATAAACTTATAGTTGAGCCACTGTAGTCACATGGAATATTTAAACATTTTCTTCATTGACTTTCTGGGCCGTCAAGAGCCAGTCCCGGAAGTCTATGTGGTAGTTATGCAGCTCTCAAATTTAATCAAAAATATCTTCATTTGTGTTCCGAAGATGAACGAAGGTCTTACGGGGTTGGTACAGCATGTGGGTGAGTAATTAATGACTTAATTTTCATTTTTGGGTGAACTAACCCTTTAAATGCGTTTTCCTCATCTTACGGTTGTATCCTTACCTGTAAATGTTACATATTCAGGCAAGTGTTTCCATTCCAACGATTATCTTGACAGCAACCTAGTCTAAGTGTAACTTCGCAGCAACAATTCTAACCTATTTTAACCAACATATTGAATGAAAAAGTGTTTGCATTGTGTTTCAGCAATATTGACAGCTTTTTTTAAAGACATGATTTGTTCAGTAAACCAGCGTTTGAACCACAGAAAACATCCCGAACCGTGACTTCAATACCAAATTATCATTTTTTGTGTACCGTTACACCTCTAATGAAAAGGCCTTGGCTGTGGCAGCAATACTTGTTATCAAAAACAAACAAATGTGTATCTGTAAGAGAAAGACATGTATTCAATCTACACATATTTTTTTTAAAAAGGCTGAAACTGTAAAGTGGAACAAACACAACTTGAAAATGTCAGGCCTTGACCTGCTAACAAATTCTGGATTCTACCGGTCTCCTGCTTGTAAATATGTACTGTAGATAACATTGGAGATGTCTTGTTAAATGCCAATTTAAATAACAAATCAAACACATATAGAACCAGGCATATGAAATGAAAAGTGGAGAATATACTGATTCATCTGGAACAGACTAGGTTTTGAACTTGTTATTGATTCACAGAAGAGGAGTCAGTTTGATTGACTCCCAAAGTACCAAAATAAAGATGTGTGGGAGAAATGCTTTAGAACAAACTGTCCTTTACATTTCAAGGCTCTTTGTAGATTTTAAAACAATGTGAAGCTACGTAAAGCTTTATACAAAGATTTGAAACATTTGCTGAGGTAAGGATGTCTTCCAACAGTGATGGCTGTTTCAATGGCCTTGTATTTTTGAATTCAAAATGAATTTCATTATGTATTTGATTACTGAAATAACCTTAATGTCTTATTAGATTTAATTTTTTTGTTTTTACTGACAAGTACATTTTAATGTGCAAGTATGAATTGCACACAAAATGCTGAATTAGACTTACTAAAAAAGGTTGGTGTTTAGCTTTCGCTACAACTGGAATGCTAATACATAATTACATAATGTTAAAAACATAATTCCTTTTGTGACAATAAATGTTATTTCTATAGAAAGATTTTTGTTTTACCCATTTTTAAAGTGCAGAATTTTTTTTCAATACCTGTTATTTGACTATAATTCTGAAAACAGGCATGCACTCGGGTTATTAATTATCATTAACTAAGACTAAAACTATTAAAAACATTTTATATTAATTGACATAAAGATGAATTAAAATAAACTGAAATAGTTTTTTTTAAGTTGAAGCACTAAAATTATTAAATGGGATAAAATAAAAACTAAAACTAAAATTGAAATGAAAATAAATGATACCTAAATAGCAATATTTATAATAATAATAATAATAAAAGGACAAAAGCACAAAGACATTTCGAAAAAATTAAACAAAAGTTTATGATTGTGTGTTTTGAAAAATATATATCAAATACTGACTGTTATAGGAAGTAATAAAAATAGTCTGGATGCTGTATAACTACAATAAATATAAATATTTTTTCTCGATAGAGATGAAATCTGACCTTGGTATACAAAATGAAAGCCTTTGGCAGTTTCTGGTCCAACTGTAGTAAACTTGATAGTTATTTGATTTCCTGTACTCAAGGGCAACGACTCTCCTGGAAAACAGACACAGAGTAAATATTTTAAAATTGCACTTCGTACATATCTGTACACATCAAAAATCACAGAGCATCATTTTTCCTTCTTTTGGCTTTAGAGAAGTAGCCTATATCTGCAGAGGGGAAACATCTCTTTTTATTTTGAACTCCAATTCGCATGTTTAATGACAATAACACCTTCACCATTTACTACAAGATGCGCCAACACAAATTATGAGATAGTTTACTCCGCCTCGTCACGTTTACACATGAGTGACAGCTAAAGTTTTGAGTCCTGAAAAGGACTTGTTTGAGCTTTACCTGAGTGAGACCCAGAGAGAGACGACAGCAGAGAGGACTGTTGCGTTGGTCCATCGTAAATGTCCACAACATCATTCAGTGACGTCTGGAACAGGACAAACTGTCCAAACAGAACTGAGGAGGAGAAAAAACAGGCAAAGTGTCAAATTTTTTTAAAAACATCGATATATTCTTGTAACTGACCAACAAAATATCCATTTTGTCGAGCACAGTCTTAAATGAAGACTTAAATAAACATTGTGAGAAAATGTTAGGCGGCAGTTCTTAAAGGGACAGGAGCCCATTAAACCTGCTGTTGTCATGTCCAGGGACGTGCACAGGGGGGTTGCTCAGGTTGCCCGGGCAACTGCCCATATGCCCTTCTCGACTCAGGTTGCCCTTCCGAGGAAAAAAAAAAAAATCGTACAATGGATGTAGAATTTCACGTAGGCCTAGACAAAAAATAATATAAAAATCGCAAAGCCTCATTCACTTCCAAAAAAAAAAAGTGAAAGTCAAACTGTTTCCACGAGACCATAGACTGCACGCGACCGGTGCGGTAAGGCACCGCAAATTATTTAGGCCGCGCCTCCATCTCGTGTCGCGCGCTAATTAATGTGTAAGAAGTCCATGACAAAATGAAGCGAAACTATCCTTCTCGTCACGAAAAGAGGAAGAAGAAAAACATGAGAGTGAATTGCGGGAACAGCAGTCAGGTAAACTTGTGTTCTGTCCTCTCTAGTGTCAGCAAAGTTTGATGGTTTGTCTGGGCAGGCAGTGCATCTCTTGCATCACTTTTTGCCTGACAAAAGTGAGAGTAAAATACCATTATTTATTACGTTTTGTTTTTGATGAACGACAAAGTGCAACAACAGTGTTTGTTTACTGCAGCTCGGAAAACAAAACCGCGTCGCGTGTGTTGCGTTCATATGCGCGTGCACGAAATGAAACTCGCATTTTTCAAGCAGAAATGTGGAGACCAGAGAAATACCGTACAATACGTGAATGATGGCACTCCCAATCAAAGTACACATTATAAAGACACTGATTATCTAGTCTCAGTGTAGTTAAAAACTAAACAACTGCACTAATTATGCAAGATATAGGCTAAACCAATGTATTGGCAATTTGACATTGATTGACTATTGATTTATAGGGTATATTGAATTTAAAATGATGATTAGATGGACATTCTGGTCAATATGAATGCAAATCCCTCCGTAAATAACCATAAATCAAGATTTGCTTCAACATGCATAAAAATAAAATAAAAATCATAGGCTACTGATTCCGAAAATACCCTGGCTATAGAGAGAACCAAAGTTAATCCCAAAAGCCAAAGTTCAGGGTTGTACTTTATTATTTTCTTCTTGTTTATGTTTACGTTAATATTCACTTAACATTCTATAAAAATGCTTTATTCAGTAAATATTGTTTGTTTGAACCTCATTCTGTTGTTGTACTTATTCTTTGACTGTTTTGTTTAAAGGAGGGAGGATTGTATTGGGCGGTATTGAGTGGCAATGGCAAATGGTTTACATGGCTCACGGCATCACAGATCAGGTAGAGGGCCCCTTAGCAGAATTTTGCTTAGGGCCCCAGGGGGAGGTCAGGATTGGCAAAAAAGAATTGTATTTTTTTCCCAAAATCTAAGCGTTTTTTATTTTTTCCATTTAATCCAGATTATTTCTTTTCAAATAAATAAATACATAAATAATAATTTAAAAAAACAATAAACAACAATATGAGGAACTCTTTTGCTCATTTGTCTCATCTCTGACATTTTGCAATCTTTATAAATAATTATAAGACCATAATATAACATAAGATGAGGCATTGCGTGTGGACATAAACACGGCCAGATAAGGCAATTTGGAAGGGGACAAATTCAACTGAATATATTCCTTCATATAGCCTGTGAGGGGGAAGGGGGGGGGGGGGGCTTTTTTCAGGTCAGAGCAACTGCCCCTCAAAATTCCTGTGCACGTCCCTGGTCATGTCTGTTATTAAGGTTAATCAAAGAACTAAAGAAAAGGAGAAAATCATCCACTACTCTTGGCTGAATAACATTAGCTTTAATAAGAATTAAATTATATTTAATTCACAATTTATGCAGTAAAGACTGAAGTGTTTGCTATTTCATTTCTGTATGTATCTTCTTAGGCCAACATAAAAACCCGAAAACACTGTTTGCAAGGTTACATGTGTCAAATACAATGAAAACAATAATGTTTTGTGCATTATGACTGGGCAAGAGGAAATCTGAACCTGTCTGACTGGGCCAAGAGAAAAAATTGAGCCCTGATATAAATGTGGCATTTATTATAATGGGTCAATTTCCTTTGTCATATTTTTTAAAAGCTTAATAAATGTTAAAATTGATAGCTTTTAATTATACCGTAACGCCGAGAGGCTTTAAATCAATTTCATAGAGACATCAGTAGCAGTAATGGTGTCATCAGCCTTCTTTCAAAAAAAAGATACCATTAAACAAATATCTAATGAATAACTTAGAAACTGCTGAAAATGTAACTAAAATTATCATGAAAAAAATCTATATAAAAAAACAAAAAAAACTTGTAGATTCACTTGTAGCATTTAAAATGATTTATTGTTCTATTTTACATTTATTAAGGCAAAATTTGTTTATTTTTGTATTTTTATCATTGACATTATCTGTATTATCCTACAAGCAGCGAATGTGTCATGAAATGTTTTCTGCCTGTATTACTCATTCACTTCACACACATTTAGAAGCCACTATACTGTAAGTACTTGAACATGTGAATACATTACTCAGAATCACGTTTCTTCAACGAATCAACGAGCTCTCGGAGGTGTATTTCAAACATCGAGTGCCTCCACCGGCCTCATTTGTTTCAGTTTAATCTGCTGTCCAATGCTTTGATGTTTCCACAATTAGGAGAAAGTCATTAGTATGCAACTCATCAACATTGCATCAAATCCCTACCCTATATCCTAAAGATTATAGAAGATTAAACAAAACATTGTACAGCGAACAAAACTTAGGGAAAAAGTAGTATTCTACAGGCTATTGGCATCTCTCTTTTGCTGCCCTGGTGAAATTAATTAAAGAAGCCAAGCATCAAAACGCAGTCTCAGGAGTGGATGAAATTCGCCCTGGTCTGTAAAGTCATGATATAAATGGACAGACAGAAGGAAATGCCTCCATTATTCTGCTGGAAGGGCTCGACTACATCCTTAACCATGTCTTTGAATTCTGGCAGAGATTCAGTGATTCAGCAGGGCTGTAGATCGATGGAGAGGTTCATGTGCTCAGCATAGCCACTGCGTGATTAAACAGTTCTCTGCTCGGAAATACAAGCGTGTAATCAAACTCTTGCAGAAACCAATTTTGAAAAAATGATTTATTTGTCATTTGAGGTAAACAAAGAGCTTGATTACCTGGACCTGATTGGCTTTATTGGCATTGCATGCGGCGGCACCTGCTGCAAAGTTCTGGACAACAAATGACATTTTCACCACTTGGATTCCACTGAATCACAGACTGAAATAATTGAAATAATTTACTGCACTTCTATGTTTGTCATTTATTAATGACTTTCATCGGCTCATTAAGGCAAAAACCAAGACGAAAACTAGTACAAAAGTACAAAACATTTCAACATGCTCAGTGAAAAACAGTAAATCAAATGCCAAAAAGGTTCTTAATGTGTTTTTTTTGTCTTTTTACTGATAAAGTATTTCTATAAGCTGTTTATTTTATTTTATTTTTTTAGTTCATTCACAATACCTCTTCAAGCTTTACAATAATACAGTTTTAAGGTACAGACTAGATTGGGTACAGTGAAATGGGTCTCCCAAAGAAGCACCAAAAGCTTTTAAGTAGGAGCCCATAGTTCTTCATTCTTGAATAGATAGGTACTGACAAGATACAAAGAGACACAATAAAAAAAACACACACACAAAAAAAATACCATATGTTACAACAACATACTCACTCATACAAACATACACGTACATCCCAGTAATCCATGAAAACAGTTTTGAATAATTAGATATAGGTTAAGAGGAAATGATGTTTTAATTGTCTTTTGAAGTTGGAGATAGATGGCAACATCTTAATACCATCATCAACCTTGTTCCAGATTTGCGGACCCCTACAAACAACACTCTGGTGCGCACATGTCTGTGATATTTTCCAAAAATGAGTGGTTTGATTCTTGTTTGGTATGTATGCTGGGGGCTGGAGATAGGAACAAGGTTACTCAGTCTAGGGTTCAGGCTATTTACAATTTGAAACATTAAACAAGCATTATGATATTCATTTAGTTCAGCTAGTCTTAATAAATTAAAGCGATAGAATAGAGGGTGAGTCGGGAAATTTATCTCTGACCAGGACAACGCCCGTATGGCTTTCTTTTCCAAAGATTCGAGTTTTTTAAGATGACTTGTAAAGGTGTTGCACCATATCACATTAATAATTGAGATGTGGTTCAAATAAAGTTTTATACAACATCATAAGGGCAGACAGAGGAAGAAAATGTCTGATCTTATAAAACAAGCCAACATACTTTGATAATTTATTTACAAGGTAGTCAATATGACATTTAAAACCAAGAGAGTCATCAATGATGACCCCCAGAAATTTAGTTGAGTACACACTTTTTATCACCTGCCCATTAATTTTAATCAGGCAGAGAGGAGTATTTCTTAAAATAGGCGATTTTTTTGTTCGAATTAAATAAAATGAAATTTGTTTTGCTGATATTTAATGACAGTTTGTTGCATTTAAACCAGGAGTCACCTTTACTCTTAACTTTATTCTTTACTCTCAACTTTACTCTTTACTCTTAAGTTAACTCTGAGTTTACTATGTCTTGTAGCATATGAAGGTTCCTGTGTGATGTAAATAAATTTGTGTCATCAGCAAAGATTATTTTATGAAATATTTCAGAGGAATTTATAAAACCATTTATATATAGAATGAATAAGAGTGTCCACAAGATTGAACCCTGGGGGACCACATCGATTCATAATATCTAAAAAAATAAATAAAAATAAAATAAAAAAAATCCTAAACTAAATCCATAAAATTATCTATGTATGAGGTTCCTAACGGAACCCTTTAAAGTTCTCTTTAGAACTAGGGA